CCATTTCTGCCATTATCCCAGAGACCACGGTAGTGAAGGTTGACCCTGGTATGGGTATCTACGTGGAGATGGGCGAATCCAAGAAAATTGGTTTCGTGCATATCTCAAGCCTCTCAGATGGCAAGGTTGAGTCTATCTCGGACGATTCCGGCCCCTTCAGGGTTGGATCTACCCACGAAGCCCGCATTGTCGGATACAACAAGATCGATAATCTCTACCTCCTCTCCTACGAGCAATCTGTGATCGAGCAGCCCTTTATCCGCCTTGAGGATGTTACTGTCGGTGCCATTGTCAAGGGCAAGGTCGAGAAGCTCCTGATTGGAGCTACTGGCATGGATGGCTTGATTGTTAGCCTAGCAGATGGCATCACTGGTCTTGTCCCCTCTATGCACTTTGCCGATTCCAAGCTCCAGTTCCCCGAGAAGAAGTTCCGCGAGGGACTGAAGATTTCCGCCCGGATCCTGTCCGTCAACTTGGAAAAGCGTCAAATCCGTTTGACCCTGAAGAAGAGCTTGCTGAACAGCGAGTCCGCAGTCTGGAAAGACTACAAGGGTATTGTGGGAGGTGCCCAGTCTCCTGGAACCATTGTCAGCCTGCAGAGCCACGGCGCTGTTGTTCAGTTCTACGGCGATGTTCGCGGTTTCCTTCCTGTGTCTGAGATGAGCGAGGCTTATATCAAAGACCCAGCCCAGCATTTCCGCCTCGGTCAGGTCGTCAATGTCCACGCTTTGAGCGTCGATGCTGCCCAGGGCAGACTTGCTGTTTCCTGCAAGGACCCCTCAACATTCACCGATAAGTATCGCAAGGCTTTCGAGGACATCCACCCCGGGCTGCTTGTCAGCGGAACTGTCTTCGAGAAGTCCAACGATGATCTTCTTCTCAAGCTGGACGAGTCCGGCCTGGTGGCTCGTCTCGATGTCCAGCACATCATTGATGGATCTCAATCCAAGCAAAACTCCACTCTCAGCAAGATTCGTGTCGGCCAAAAGCTGAACGACCTCTTGGTCCTCGACATCCAACGTGCTCACCGTCTCATTCGAGTTTCTAGCCGCGTCACCCTGAAGAAGGCTGTGAAGCAAAAGTCTCTCCCCGCCAAGTTCGAGGATGTGCAAGAGGGCAGCGCTGTTACTGGTTTCATCCGTAACATCACCCCCGATGGTTTGTTCGTTGAGTTCCTCGGTGGTCTTACTGGTCTCCTTCCCAAGCGTCTTATCGAAGAAACAAACCTGTCTCAGCCCCAATTCGGCGTGTCCAAGGGACAGGCCATTTCGGTCACAGTCAACTCGGTTGATATGGATTTGCAGCGCTTCATCCTGAGCCAGAAGGGCTCCGAGGCCACCGGCCCCAAGGAGAAGAAGGAGAAGACTTTTAATCAGACCGATGATCCCGTCGCCAACGCCGTCGATGACAACATCAAGACCATGTCTGACTTCACATTCGGTCGCGTTGTCCAGTGCAAAGTTGTCTCTATCAAGTCTACTCAAGTCAATGTGCAGCTTGCGGATAACATCCAAGGACGAATTGACGTGTCCGAGATCTTCGATAAGTGGGAAGACCTCAAGGACCGAAAGCAGCCCCTGCGTTTTTTCAAGGCCAAGCAGGTCATCTCTGCTAGAATCCTCGGCATCCACGATGCCCGCAGCCACAAGTTCCTGCCTATTTCCCACCGCACCGGCAAGTACCCTGTCTACGAGCTTTCTATGAAGCCCAGCTTCCTCAAGGCTACAAACCCCGCCCCGTTGAACTTCGAGCAGGTCCAGATTGGATCGTCTTGGATGGGTTTCGTAAACAACATCGCCGATGACTGCATCTGGATCAACCTGTCTCCCAGCGTGCGCGGTCGTCTGCGCTTCATGGATGCTTCGGATGATCTGTCTCTTCTTACCGACGTGGAGAAGAATTTCCCCATCGGATCTGCCTTGAAGGTCCAGGTCACTGCGGTCAATGCCGAAAAGGGTCACCTGGATCTGTCTGCCAAGCAAGGCTTTGATAAGCTCTCGTTCGGCGACGTCGCCCCTGGCATGATCCTTCCCGGCCGTGTCACCAAGATCACCGAGAAGCAGATCATCATGCAGCTCGGCGAGGCCCTCGTTGCAGCAGTCAACCTCATGGACATGGCTGATGACTACTCAAAGGCCAACCCCACTCTGTACCGCAAGAATGAGGTTCTCCGTGCCTACGTTGTTGCTGTTGACAAGGCTAACAAGAAGATCCACCTGTCTCTCCGCCCATCTAAGGTTCTGAGCTCCTCGCTGCCTGTACAGGATCGCGAGATCACCTCCCTCAAGGATATCAAGCAAAATGATGTCGTGCGCGGCTTCGTCAAGCGCGTCACCGATGCTGGTCTATTTGTGTCTGTTGGTCACGATGTGACTGCCTACGCCCGTGTTTCCGACCTGTCCGACTCGTATCTCAAGGAGTGGAAGGATTCTTTCCAGCAGGACCAGCTTGTCAAGGGCCGTGTTACCATGGTTGATGCGGCTCAGAACAAGCTGCAGATCAGTCTGAAGGAGTCCATCCTTGACCCCAACTACAAGGCTCCCGTCAAGTTGCAGGACCTCAAGGTTGGTCAGATTGTGACCGGTAAGATCCGTAAGGTTGAGGAGTTCGGTGCTTTCATTGTCGTCGACAAGTCTTCCAATGTCAGCGGTCTCTGCCACCGCAGCGAGATGGCTGACAAGCGCATCGAGGATGCTCGCAAGCTTTACGATGAGGGTGATGCTGTCAAGGCCAAGATCATCAAGATCGATCAAGCCTCGAAGAAGATCTCCTTCTCTCTCAAGGCTTCTCACTTCCAGGATGAGCAAGATGAGAGCGAGGATGAGGAGCTCACCGAGGGTATTGGTGGTGTTGAGCTGGAGGTCGACAGTGACGATGATGATGTCTCTATGGGAGGCGTCGATGTCGAGGAAGGTAGCGACGAGGAGGAGGAAGAGGAAGAGGAGGACAGTGACGACGAGGACGAGTCCACCAAGCCTTCCAAGGTTGGTGGTCTCGGTGCTAGTGGCTTCGACTGGAGTGGCAATGTCCAGGCCAAGGATGCGGCCGCCGACGTTGACAGCGATGACGAGGACTCCAAGAAGAAAAAGAAGAAGAGCCGCAAGCCCGAGATCCAGGTTGACCGCACTGGCGAGCTTGATGCTAACGGACCCCAAACTGTCGCCGACTACGAGCGTCTTCTCATGGGTGAGCCTGACTCTTCGCTGCTGTGGCTGCAATACATGGCGTTCCAGCTGGAGCTGGGCGAAGTCGAGAAGGCCCGCACTATCGCTGAACGTGCTCTACGCACCATCTCTATGAACCAGGACTCTGAGAAGCTGAACATCTGGATTGCCTTGCTGAACTTGGAGAACACCTACGGTAACGACGATACCCTTGAGGAAGTTTTCAACCGTGCGTGCCAGTACCAGGACCCGCAAGTCATTTACGACAAGATGGCCAGCATTTATATCAGTTCCGGCAAGAACGAGGTATGTTCTCTTCCAACCGCACTTTCTTCTATTATATGATAAAAAGATTTTGGTTTCTAACTATTTTTGACTACAGAAAGCGGATGATCTCTTCCGAACTGCGATGAAGAAGAAGATCTCGAACCAATCCCCATCCTTCTTCCTCAACTACGCCAGCTTCCTGTTCGACACTCTAGCCAACGCCGATCGCGGCCGCGGCCTTCTTTCGCGTGCGCTGCAGTCCCTCCCGACGCATACACACATCGAGACGACCTCCAAGTTTGCACAACTGGAATTCCGCTCAGCTAATGGTGACATTGAGCGTGGTCGCACAGTCTTCGAAGGACTTATCTCTTCATTCCCCAAGCGCATGGACCTGTGGAACGTGCTGCTGGATCTGGAGATTAAGAACGGCGATGCGGACCAGGTGCGCCGTCTCTTCGAGCGTGTACTTGGACTTTCGCACAAGAAGGGATCTGTCAGTGTGGACGCCAGCAAGAAGGTGAAGCCCAAGCAGGCCAAGTTCCTGTTCAAGAAGTGGCTCGCTTTTGAGGAGAAGCTTGTCGCGGACGGTGCGGACGAGAAGATGGTGGAGGAGATCAAGGCACGGGCCGCGGCCTATGTCAAGTCTCTGCAGGAGGAGTAAATTGTTTTCTTATCATGTTACTATTTCATTTTTTTCTCTTGATCATGTGTTAACCAACGGAAGAACAAAAGCAACGGGTCCACGATGATGATCGATCCGTGGGTGTTTGGGACCATTGCATTCGTTGTATATAAAGCGCTATCGAATTGATCTGCGGATATTTCCTATTTCACCTTTAAAAATCTTCGTAATGACTATGACTATGACTACCCCTCTAAACAGAGTTTCTGCAAGGCTCGCCAATATCTGCCGCATCGTTTAGCATAAGACGCAATGGGGCCTCCCGTTGGTCCGTTCAAGCCTACCATTGGGGAAGTCAACCTAAACCAATCACCGACCGCCTCTCTGCAACATGCCAACAGTTGCTGCACGCTGATTGACTCTTTTTTCCTTCGAGTTGACGAGGAAAGTGACCCGATACGTTTTCGACTGTTGAACACGGAAGTAGAGGGCGAGACTGGAAGAGTGAGTAATTTAAACCCCGGTAAAGATTTAACCATACTTAATAAGTTAATTCCCATGAGCCCTGCAGGTTCAGGGTCTCCCTCCACTTCCATCCTTTCCCTCTCAACCTACCCTACCCAATAATGGGGGTCTCATATGGACCACAGTCCATACAAGGAGAGTCTTCCGAATATCTTCTTAACCTTCCTTTTGAAGCCTATACCGATTCTCCAACCCTTCGTCTTGAAGATAAAATCGATGGAGTTCCCCGCGATCAACCACAAGTGGGGCCGTCAACATGGCGCAAGCTGACGAGTTGGATCTCCCGAAGCAACGTTCACTTATACTCCCTGCTACGTCAGGGACCAGACAAGTCCAAGTCCCCCTTTAAGGAAAAGGCGAAGCCGTGCCGCTCCTGCTGTTGGCGCTTGTTTCTGCGCACTTTGCTTGTCTTCTTCGTGATGCTGTGAGTGCTTTTTCTTTTCTTATTTTTGTTTTCTAACATCTACATTGATCCAATCCGGTCGGACCAAGCTCCAACCCCAGTCTTGTATTCTCTTCTTCCTGCAGAACGACCAGGCTAATCCATTCAAAAATATAGCGGCGTCATTCAATTCATCTCCCTCTCTTTCGGCATCGCTCTATCGTTCTTCCCGGACGAATATGACCGTGCCGCGAGTGCCTGGAAGCATGACAGCGCCGATCCCATCGACAACAACGCCTCGCACTGGCCAGCTGCCTCCCGCGACATCATCGCCGTAAACTGCCACTCGCACAACGACTACTGGCGCAAGATCCCGCTCTTCTCCGCCCTACAGGCCGGCTGCGTCAGCGTCGAGGCAGACGTCTGGCTCTTCGACGAAGAACTATACGTCGGCCACACGACCTCATCTCTATCATCGCGCCGGACCCTGCGCTCCTTATACATCGACCCCCCTAGTCGAGATCCTCAACCAGCAGAATCAGAATCAGAATCCGACCACGACCCAGCAGCGTCTCGCCCCTCCGCGCGGCGTCTTCGACTCAGACCCGCATCAATCGGTCGTGCTGCTAATCGACTTCAAAACAGACGGCGCGACGACTTGGCCCGCTGTAGCCGAGGAACTTGCCCCGCTTCGCGATCGAGGCTATCTCACTTACTTCAATGGCGATTCAATCGTACCGGGCCCCGTGACTGTCGTCGGAACAGGAAATGCGCCTTTCAACCTCGTCACGGCGAATTCCACATACCGCGATATCTTCTTCGACGCCCCGCTGGAAAAGCTGCTTGACGAGGATGAGGATGAGGATGGCAACGATACACGACCTTCCGAAACTGGATCTGGACAAGGACACACCGGCATGCCTGATACGCTGCGGGCAAATACGTTCAATGTGACGAATAGCTACTACGCCTCCGTTTCGTTTAAGAAGGCTGTCGGGTTTCCCTGGCCTTTCCACTTTACGCAGCGGCAGGTGCGGGTTATTCGGGAGCAGGTGCGGGTTGCGCATCGGCTTGGCTTGAAGGTACGGTACTGGTCTATTCCAGGGTGGCCGGTTAGTTTGCGGAATCATGTTTGGAGGATCCTTGTGCAGGAAGGGGTGGATATGCTTAATGTGGATGATTTGGTTACGGCTACGAAGGGTGATTGGAAGATTCCTGTCTTTGATTGGTGGGTTTGAGAGATATTCTGAGTCTTCAACTTATGGGTAGGGTTCCAAGGTTGGCATGGTTGATATGAGTGATGATATTTATGTTAGTTGTTCTTCGTGGGGTTTCTTTCTGGGCGTTGTGGGGGCGTTGGCTTTGGCTTTTTTATTGACATTTGAGATACCTTTTACTTCGTGCGATAGATTTTATGGCTGTTACGACTGGCACAGATAAAGAAAGAATTTCTTTTTCTTTGGTTGAATGATGGCGCTTGAATCAATGTTATTTCTGCAGCCAGGCTGTCCTTTTTTTTGGTGACTGTCATGTTATGATGCAGTATGCTAGAGTCCCAATAGTGTTTCATTTTTTTGCAGAGCCCTGCTGGAGGGTTGCTTCCGAACGACCAATTACATGCAAATAGGCTGAAAATGTTCAAAAAATAAAGAATACAGAATATCAAAGTGGGACGGAACCTGGGGTTCCAGAAGGTAGACAAGGCCCTAGGGCCCAGTGGGTATCATCAAGATTCAGATGCGCTGGGCGCACTTTGAAGATGCAAGGTTGACTGGACGCGTTGAAGGACCAGCCGCAACAGGCGGAAAGGAAGAGCGAGGAAGTAAAGTTGAGATTCCAAAAGGGAAGGCGAGTGCATCGAGGGGTTATAGGCAGAAGAGGGCCTCTTCGCCGAATTCTCGCACGATACTGCCTTCTTCACGGAGGAGGCCGCCAAGCCAATGCTTAGCCGTCTCGAAGTCCTTGGCGCCGAACTTCACAAGTACAAAGCCGGCACGGACACGGGCTGCCGTCCAGGTGACATCGCCCCTAGCGGTCGCCGAATCCTCGGGGGCAGAAGAGGTCGCTGATGATGACCAATTCCGGCTGCCGATGCGCGGCTGTGATGTGAATTGTTCGATGAGGAAAGAGCCGAGCTTGTCGAAGACTGGGCCAGACAGGATAAGAGTGCCCACAACACCGTGTGGTCTCGTTCGTTCTTGGATGATGTTCAATGGTAGAAGACCGGCCTGCGCCTGCGGTGGAACGTCCCCACCGTCAGGGTGAGGATTTAATCCGTGGCTTGAGTCTTCATTTTCATCGTCCGACTCATCTGTGGCAAGTTCATCTTCCTGTTCATCGTCCAGGATGACAGAATCACGAAGAAGAAGCCGGCTCTTCCCCGTCTTCTCATCGGCAGCCCAAACTTCATTTCGGCCCTTCCAGAAGCGGAAGTTCCAGTTCTCACCACGCGAGGTCCGGCCCTGCGTGACCCAATCCAGAACACAGAGACTGCTACGCTGATCACCCCGGGCCGCGGCGTCGACTGTGAATGTTTGCACTTGGGCGTAGCGACTATTTTGGTAGGGGACGGAGGGATCCGGCAGATAGCAGAGAGCGGATTGGCGGCCAATTCGGACGTCGAGTGATTGTTGACTCATATCAGAGAGATGGTCGTTAGCGGGCATCTTCTTGCGGTGACCCTTGATCACACTGACGCCGTTGTCTTCGGTCTTGAAGATCTTGGTGCTTCCTTGTGGTGTCGTTACTACCATTCGTGTCCTGGGTTCGAGTTTGATAGAGACCTCGATGTGGTCTCCGGGAAGTAGACCACCGCCATAGGTGAGGAGATAGAGATGGACTGGTCTTGATGGGCATGAATCGGAAAGTGCAGCGGGATCAGGCGTGGGAACGAAGCCTGGTGCGCGCGGAACAAGTTTCAATGGGTATTTATAGGTGAGGGTGGTGAGAGTGGGATTGTTCGGTGGGAGGAGAGAGGACGACATTGCCCTGCCCCGGCTTCGCAATGGAAGACTCAAAGGGCGAGCGGATGGGCATTGCTGGTTGTCGCATGGTGGCGTAGATGTGAGGTTCTCTTTTTTTTAGGTGGAAGGCGGAGAGAAGAGGGAAAGGGCAGAGGTTATGATGAAAGCGGTGGAGGGAAGTAGAGCGGAGAGTGGGGGAAGATGACGGGCTTTATCAGGGAGAGATGAAGAATGAGCCAAGCTTGTGTATGCATGCAATGGTGGTGATATTCAGTAAGGCGTAATATCGGCAGGCTGCAGCATGATGTCTTTTACAGGAGAGTATTTTTTTCTTTACCCCGGAATCTTGGGTGTGAGTGGTATATAAAATTAGTTGAGGGGGGGCGATGATGCCATTCAATTAGTCAATGGCCACGACCACCTTGCGAATGGACCGGCTACCCATGGACTAGATGCGACTATGTGTCAAGCGGGGGCGGCTTGACCCCATGTGCTGTTACGCTGAGCCCCGTGAGACCCAAACCAAATGGACAAAGTGGAAAAAGTGGACGAAGTGGATTGAAGAGGAGACCAAAGGGGAATCTATGACAAAGAACAACTCGACCGAGGAACATCACAGGTTCAAACGTGACTTCCTAAGAGTCCGGACGGGGCCTGGGCGGGTCTTGGCGCTCACCACATGACCGATCGCCGGTATTTATTGTATTCTACTGTATTCTATTCCACTCAACTCCTTGGCTACCTCCTACCCCGTAGTATGTATTGCAGTCTCATCCGCCAAGACTGTCCGCTCCTAACAGGGATCTTCAGAAGTTGCACGGAGAGTACATGACCTATCCCGTGGCAGTGCTAGGCACCTGCATCGGCTATTTTTCCTCACATTGTACCCGTACGGAGTGAGGTGAACAACAGGTGGAGTGGGATGCGAGGTGCACGCTTAGCGGATGATCGCTGTGACTCGGTTACTAGTGTTTCTGAGAGGTCCACGATCCTTCTTTGGAGGACTCTGACTTTCTAAATATTCTACAGAGTAGTACTGTACTCCGTAGGCAATAACCATAATAACCCCCTAGATACTGCTTTGAGCTCGTGCATCAAGGAACATAATGGCAAAACGCCATCTGACGGCAGCAACTACACTATACAGTATAGTATACTTACAAGGTCCTCCGCCACAATTTGCCCCAACTTTGTTGAGCGCGTAGTTACGAAGAAAGTCCTCGTGACGCCAATTTGCAGAATGAGAAATAGAAAAACACCTCAAGGGGAAGAAAAAAGAGACTAACAAATAATTATCCCATGATCGTGGACCGTCGAAGACAAAGAAGGAAACACTTCGCCAAATACCCCATTCTCTGTATCCGTATGGAAGTCTGTCATCAGTCTGATCTGCAAATTGTTGTCTCGCATTCATATGGATATACGTTTTCCCCTTTCCTTAGGATACTAATACCATTATGAAAGTGCAGGTTGGTCCAGCTTGATGCTCGCATTAAACGGGCCTATATCTCTTTGGCTTACGCTGAGTTGTTAACTCAATGTATGGACGATGCTTTTCAAACTGTAATCATGGCAGAAAACTCAATCACTCCGTACTGCCGGATGATCTGATCGCTCTGGGGTAATCGACAGTTTGGCCTGAGGTTCGTGGTGTCGAGGCATTAAGGCACTAAGGCATGAATGCACGAGTCAGGCAGAAATCAGGCAGAAATCGCAAACGCGACTCCGTAAACTTTACGCTTCCTTGGGACCCCCGCCCTCCGATCCATCGGCCTTCCCATTTCTCCCAAGGAACAGTTCGACATTCGACTGGTTGTGCATTGAGTTACGATACTCTGCATCAAAGCCGCCTGCTCGGTCTACAACCACCTCGTCGATTCGCCGAAATCGTATTTACTGCCGTCGCACGGCGCGTTTCACGGAGCGCGTTTGACCTGGCGTCCGAATCTCCCAATCCCCGTCTTTGCTCAATAGTTAGGGCCGACAGGCGCGACGCTCTCGTTATTCCAGTCGCCAGATCCCCAATCACACAATTCCTATCGTCATGGAGCTGGACAACTCAAGTACCCCAGCGGGCACCCCCGGCGAGGACAGACGCAAGTCGGGTCGCATGACGCGCCGGCCCGACACATTTTCACAAAGCACACATTCTGCTCTCGAAACGAACGCTGGCGGGAAACGTAAACGCGGAGATGTACTGGAACCTGGCGGCGATGATGATATGTCCGACTCGGAAAGTGACGAGTCGAGCGAAGATGACGCTGCGGACGAGGAGGAACTGAAGGCCAAGAAACGTGCAGCTAGCAAAGCTCGATCAAAGAAGCCCGCGGCGAAGAAGGGTTCACGTGCTGCAAAGAAGCCCAAGGTTGTTGGTAATGGACTGGGGAAACAACTCGCTTTCAGGCCTGCCCTCAATGGCCGTCTACCAGCTTCGCGCCCCCGCATGCCCAAGGTCCGACCTAGTTTGGCCGCAGGTGAACATGGATTATATGGTATGTTTCCCAAATTGATCGAGATGAGTTTCTTTCTAATGGCATGGAAACAGCGGAGATCTTCGGAAAGAGTAATAATGCAGATACCGCTGCTGCGCAGTGGCTAAGCCTGTACCAACGTGATGCCTGGGGAGCTATGCGAGACCTGATCAACTTCCTTATCCGCTGCACAGGAGCCACTATGGAGCTCACAAAAGAGGAGGTGGACGATGTGGACAATGCACCCAACCAAATCTCCAGCCTACAAAATGAATATCAAGCGCAAGGTGTCACCGACTATCCCCTCATTTCCCAAGAAAAGAAATTCAAGGCATTTCAACTCGTCCTCGAAGAATTTATCGGCGCACTCATCCAAACGTTCCACCATTCTTCGGTCCTTTACACCGATGCAGCCCTGCTTGAAAATATCCAGATTTGGATGTCTTCCATGTCAACATCTAACTTCAGACCTTTCCGGCATACCGCGACTGTTATGGCCCTGTCTGTCATAACTGCACTGTGTGAGATTACACAAGAAGTCACAGCCACTGTCACAACATCTCGCAAACAACTTGAGAGTGAGAAGAAAAAGAAGACCGTTAATAAGGGCCGCGTCGAGGCAATTCAGACGGCTGTTACAGAAGGCGAACAAAAGGTGGAACAACTCAATGAGTTCATTCAAGATGGATTTGATACTGTCTTTGTTCATCGCCATCGTGATGTTGACGGCAATGTCAGAGCCGAATGCATGCTGGCTTTGGGTCGATGGATTCGTTCATATCGGGAAATGTTCCTTGATGCCCAGTCCTTGCGTTATCTTGGCTGGGCTATTTCCGATACCGTTGCTCACGCCCGACTAGTTGCCTTGACCCAACTATTGCCATTATACGAGAGTCGAGACAACATCGGTGCCTTGAACTCCTTCACTGAACGCTTCCGTCAGCGTGTTGTGGAAATTGCCGTCCAGGATGCGGATTTAAACGTCCGTGTGGCTGCGATTGAACTTTTAAATCACTTGCGAGACGGCGGCTTCCTGGAACCCGCCGACGTCGACGCTATCGGCCGATTAGTGCTTGATCTTGATCCTCGGATTAGAAAGGCAGCCGGTGGATTCTTTGTTGCTAATGTTCAGGATGCGTTTGACTCTATGGTGGAGGAAGTCGGGGATGAGATTAACGAGATCTTCGCCGATGATGATGAGGACGACTTTGATTCGCCAAAGCGCTCTTGGATCAAATTCAAGTGTCTTGTGGATATGTTCCAAGCCTATGATGTACAAGAAGATGAGGACTCTGATATGATTGCCAGTACACGCGATGTACTGTCCGGGGCCCCTGCTGCTACTCGCTTTGTTCTCGCAACAGAAGCCATCTATCCCCATATGGAAGAACTCTCCCAATGGCAGTCATTGGCCGGCTTCCTCCTTTACGATCACTCACAAATCGCCGATGATCCAGCCGAGGATGACACCACTGGGATTGTTCGCAAGCTCTACAGGATCCAAGAAGGCCAAGAGGCAATTCTTCTGGAGGTTCTGTGTGCGGCAGTGAAGCTTCGAGTACTTGACGTCGCCAAGTCAGACATTGACAAACGCGGACGGAAGGTCAAGGCACTGACTGCGAAGATCCCTGAACTTCAGGAGGAGATTTCTCACAACCTGGCTCAAACCATCCCTCAGCTTCTTAATAAGTTTGGTTCAGCCCCCGAGGCTGCATCTGTTGTTCTTCGACTGGAACACCTGGTGGATTTGAACTCGATTCAAGACATGCAAAAAGATGCGACGGCTTACACCTCTTTACTCAACGACATCAATAAGCAATTCCTGACTCACTCTGATCAAGATGTTCTGGCTGAGGCTAGTGTCGCTTTCTTGCACGCCAAGAGCTCCGATGAAATGCGAGAGGTTCTTGAGGGCAAAATTCAGGAGTTGTGGGAAGACATGGTCGATACCCTGGGTGCTTTGTCTCGCAAAAAAGAAGTTCAGGCAGGCGCCTCAATTTCCGATCCAACCCTTACCGACCTCACCAATACCATTACACGCATCTCCAAACTCTCCGCCATCATGGACTGCTCGACAATCCTGGAGACAGTACCAACCTCTCGCTCAAAATCCAAGAAGGACCAAGGGGAGGCACCATTCAACATACTCATCAATTTGGCTCAGCGTGCCCTCCTACCTGAAGAGGATGATGAAGACACTGCTCGCGCAGAGGCCGAACTTGTGACGAACAGTATCCGGACTCTGCTCTTCTATTTCATGTGGAAGGTGCAAGCCTTGTCTACAGCCCTGAGCGAAGGAAAAGCCACTTTCAGTACCTCATATTTCGAAGCGCTCACCAAAAGCCGCGAAACATTTTCATCGACGCTCCTGGATATCATGAAGGGGCTGACCGGCCTCGACGACTTACGATTCACCGCCACGACGACATTCCTGGACCTTCAAACGCTATTCAGTACCCTCCGCAACGCCGGTCAGGGCATTGGCAACGACGAGGATGTAATTTTCCAGGCGCAAAGTCTTGTCCACGAAGTCCCCTCCGACGCCCAAGCCCTCATTGCCAAAATCCACGGCACAGCCGAGCGAATCTTCGCCAAGACAGCCAAATACGACCGCGAACCTGCGGAAGACGATGCCCCCGCATCCGAAGATGAGCCCGAGGATGACGACGAGGAGAACGAGGAAGAAGACGAGGCCGTTATCATGGAACGACTTCGCAGCAGCATCGTCGCTGAGCAGCGCCTCTGCGAACTGACCGGCAAGCTTGTCCTCGCTATCATCGGCCGCGTGGTCGATGCATCCGGCACAAAGCGTGGGTCTCTGAAGAAGCGTCTCCTACGCAACAAGACTTCCCTCGGCCAAAACTACCGTGAAGTCCTCTCCTACCTCGAAGAACGCAAACCCCGCAGTGCCCCTCGCAACAAGGGCAAACAGCCCGTGAGAAGCGCGCAAGCGGGCGAGAAAACAGCCACGCCTGTCAAGAACGTCAAATCAGCCGAGCGCGTCGATGACAATGAAGAGGAGGAGGAAGAGCAGGAAGAGCAGGAAGGTGACCACGATGATCCGATCGAAGAGGATGACGAGGAGGATCTGCGGGCGCGTGAGCTTGTCGAGGACGAGATCGTCGACGATGACAATGAAGATTTGAATCGTGGGCCCGATCCCGATGAAGATGAAATAATGGGTGACTGATTGCTTTCTTGTGTGATATCTGTGAGCTGATGTGTGATTTTGTGGCTTTGCTCATTTCAGCCTTTGATCGTGTTTCCTAATTTCCTTACTTCTGATGTCTAAATTATCTATTCCTTTTTTTCCCCATCTCATTCTTATTCAGAATCTACTGTTAATTGATTCTGATTGGTTCGTCATTCTCTTTGATCATGCGCACGTTCCCTCGTGCAGTGGAAGAAGACCATGTAGAAGCTAGGAAACAATTCTATGCTACCATGGACAAAATCTCCAGCACTTGGGCCTTGGTAGTCAGAGGGAAAGGGTTCGTCTTTGCCCAGGGATCATGGAGTGTATTCTCGGCAAGCTTGTCGAACTTTTCCCGGCTCACATTCACCTCCCGAAGAGACCGCGGCATGCCCAATTCTCGGATAATTAAATCCAAGACATCTCCCAGGTCCGGGTTCAAAGTTCCATGAGCTTGCAGAAGCTCGCTGACCTTTTGTTCTCGACAAAGAATTTCTAAGCATTCTTCCTGTTGCTTCAGATTGACTTTATGGGCCGCATTGAACTTGCATACTGCTGGAAGTAGTACGCAGCTAGTCTCACCGTGGCCGACACCGAGTGGACCTAGTTGATATCCAATGGCATGACTTGCTCCAAGAGGAATACCGCTGCGCATGGCAGAAACAGCATGAACTATACCCTGTTGACAAAGGGATCGAGCCTCAGCATTCTCGGGCTCATGCTTGCATGTAAGCAGGCCAGGAAGTAAAATCTCCAAGCCTATCTTGGCGGTCCGATTTCCAGCATCAGTCCTATGTAATGAGCATATTGCTTCGATACAGTGATCGAGAGATCTGACCCCAGAGCCTATCCAGAGTGAAGAAGGGGTCGTTTTGCATAGATTCGGATCTTGAATGATTAGATCTGCTTCTACTCCCGGCTCGAAAAGTTGTTTGATGCCAGAGGCTGAGAAAGTTGCTCCCGCGATATGTTGGAATTCACCACCCGAGAGTGTGGTTGGGATGTGTATCAAGCGGATAGTAGCCTCAATGACCGTTTGGGGTCTTCTTGGGTTGACTTTTTTTTGTCTCCCCATAGCGTGTCCACTTGATCCTCCGTGGAGGCTGAGTTGGCCAGGAAAAACCTAATCAACTTTCCGGCATCTGTGACACTTCCACCACCTAGGGTAACCAGACAATCAATGCCTCCTACCTTGCGTATTTCATGAAGAGCGTCAAGGACATCCTGCACAGGGGTGTGGGGGCCGATGCCGATGAAGTTGCCCTTGACTCGCTCTTGTGTACCAAGTGCTTCCTGGAGTCGTTGCAATGCCAGGGTCTTTTCTGACAGCGCGGGAGCTGATAGGATAAAGATTTTCTTGGAGCCTGAATTCTCGACATAGGCAGCTCACACATTTGCAAAATCGTGACCATGACCAAGCAACGGTAGCTCTTAGTCCAGAAAGGCTCATTCAAATACAAAGTCAAGCTTAGTGTCCATAGCTCTGGATAGCGTGTTGTATTTAGGGCTCAAGGTGCCAAACAATGCTCTCTGAAAGAAGGCACTCTCATAGCGAGGTAGGGCGTGTGAGAAGCTCAAGGAAAGACGGGAAGCGGCGTACATATTTTCATAGTTGTTCTATCTTAGGTGAGAGGTACACATACAATTATAATAAAGTAGTGGATTGGTAATCAACCTAATTTGTGTTCCCGATTGTTATTATATCATCAATTCTTGTTAGGACACAAGCCGATTCGGGATCGGAAGGGAAACCCGGGTCGCTCGGTGGTAGATTACGTTAATATGTCTCCGGTTCGAGCAATTAGTCACCATATTCGGGTTCTTACAGCTACGTAACATGGAAAACTCTCCGTTCGGTGCAATTATTGGAAATAGTCTTAAATGGAAGCTTGAAAGAATCGCTATAAGACGCCTAATCTATCGGCACCAAGTTTCTAACCCTATCTAATCACCACACGATCTCTTGTTGATCCTTCCAGTCTGCCATCCGCAAATGTCTAGCCACAGCCAGAGACTCGGTGTTTTCCCTGCTTCCGGAGGTATCGGGGGTAGCACCGTCAAGCATCTGCTCCCTCGTCTCCCTGCTCGAGACCTCGTCTTTATCGCCCGAAATCCTGCCAAATTAGACTTTGCGTCTGCTGCCGGTGCTACCGTCCGCAAGGCGGACTATGACGATAATGAGACTTTAGCACATGCTTTTGAAGGCATTGAAACATTGTTCCTGATCTCGTACGCTTCAGTTGAAGTGGAGCACCGAGCGGAGGTGAGTTTTTGATTAGTATGTCACGATGATGATCAGTGGTCGCTGATCATAAATATTTATAGCGTCACCGAACTGCAATTGACTATGCCCTTAAGAGTGGCGTTAAGTACATTTTCTATGGGTCGCTGGGACTTGCTGGCCGCGAAGACAGTAAAGAGACTGTGGCGCATGTTATGAAGCCTCACTTGAGCACTGAGAAGTACCTCGAAGAGTGTATCCACCTATACCCCGGCTTTAACTATACTGTCGTACGCGAAGGCCTTTACTCCGAGTCCTATGATCTTTACACCGCATTTTTCGACCCTCAAAACCCCGTCGATGAGATCAAGATCGCTCACGATGGTTCTGGTCCCGGAATTGCTTGGGTAAAGCGTGAAGAACTTGGAGAGGGCACTGCTGAGCTTCTGAGAATCTTCGTCCAAGATCCGAAAGGATTCAAATACCGTAACAAGACGGTTCTCCTTTCTGGCACTAAGATTTTGAGTCTTCAGGAGACGGTGGACATTCTTGCCAAGATCGCGAAGAAGCCCGTGAAGATTCGTCAGGTCTCGGATGAAGAGTTCGGCCAGCAACCTAAGGTCGGACCAAACTTCACCTATCGTGGAGTTGATTACGGCACAGTTTGGGCAACGGCCTTTGAAGCCTTTCGACGAGGAGAGGCTAGTTACGCATCCCCGTTGCTGCGTGAGCTGCTAGGCCGCGAACCCGAAGACTTCGAAACTACCATCTCGCGAAAGGATACTTTCACGCTGTAGGGGTTTTGATGAGACCGAATTCAGCACTGGTCATTGCGTCGTTATCAAAAGTTCTCGCAACATATTTTGCAATTCATTTCAGCTACAAGATACTAGAAATGGAATAGTGCCCAAGGAAAATACATTTCCACCGCTACAAATTATAAACACCACTTTGTTTTTCGCGATAAGCCTTAGAGGTATGTATCGCCATATTGTCTTGACGTAACCATCCATAATTGATGACGTCAACCCTATATTCCATCGTTTCAATACTGTACTCCATTCACGCTAGTTGTCATGGAATAAATGACCCCAGAGTTATACCCACTCGGAGATAGGATGAATCATGGAAAGAAGACAGACATTGGGAGGATTAGGCCTGGTACTGCGCCTCAGGTAACCCTACCGACCCTGCACCTGCACCTCCATTTGGTGAGTCAGGTCCCAAGATTCTAACCCTCGGGTGCGGTAGCTCAGGGGTCACACCTCATGAGGGTAACCCTGAGTAGACCTGTGCACCGCCCTGGGAATTAGGGCTGCACAAGGCGCGATATCGCGGGAATTCTGGCATATCGCATATCGCATCGCTATCGCAAAATTAGCGAAAATTTTATCGCAACAATGTCAAGCTTGCGGTACGATATACGATGCGATATAGGCGATATCGCTAGGTCAGTATTACCCCCCCCCAGTGTGCTCAATATTCCCATAGCACGCTCAATCGTTCAAGAATATAGTAAAAATACAATCAAAACTAAAATAGCCTCTGTTTCCTATCTAGGACTAGCTTCTATAGTCTCTATAGTATTATAGTGACGTTTGGTGGTTGTATATCGGCTACGGTTACGTCCATTTAGCTATGAACCATAATAGATTCTAGCTCAAAGCAGTGCGTAAAGGATGGTCTATGGACGAAAAAGTCACCTTACCTGAGTAAACTATTATCAACCAACGTACAGTAGTGCCTCTTTTCTCGTTTGAACCTATTAAATTCATAGTTGCATACTCTTTTTCTCAATATTTACAGTATAAGATGTATTTCTATACAATGCGGCATAGGCCATCCCCATCTGTGTACTAGATTGTTTGTTCTCTCAATTGACCAGGCATTAGACGTCATCCATCACATTCACGAGAAAATACTTATCATGTACGAATAATTGTTAACTTACTCTGAAACAACAAGGAGTGCAAAGTATTATCCTCTTTTTTAAAGATCCATTTGTGTTGGTTAACAAACAACTCGACTTTCTGGCAGCTGTTCCGTCTCCTGCCTGCCGACCCTCCACTCAAATTTGCTTCTAATCTAACTGAAGTGACATTTAAATATCTTTAGACACTAGCTCTACAACCCAATGTGATCTGGTCTCAAATAAGAGGGAGTAGCTCACTCAAGAACATGGTTTACACGATGAATTACGGTGTGTTTTATAGGGTGATTTATGATATATTTTTTCAACTTTAACGAAGCCTCGGCTTTCCTATCACTTTGTCGTAGTATACCTTTATGAGATAAATTAAAAGCTGTTTCTATCACGGGTTGGTAAGGTTTCAAGCAGATAACATCTCTATATCTTAAATTCTTGCTAGAAACATTCAGAAGAAAAAAGGCTGATCCGTGGTGACGCACTCAACGGATACAGTACCCGCCGTCGATGAGAATTTCAGTCCCAGTTACCTAGTGTTGGAGATATTCTTTTGCTTCGCTCTGGTTATATCTCGAGGTACTATGAATTGGAAAAGTCCGACCCGACAAAGCTGGAGTCTTCGGCTGGATCTGAAAACCCTTCTTATGCGGGATTGGAGCAGAGTGAAGTATTGAAGGCATTCATCCATGATTTTTATGTCGTCTCGCTAGTGCATAGCGTGTGATCGAAGTAAGTTGAGCTAATATACCCCCAAAAGCTACTTCGAAGCTGTTGGCGGCGACGCTCCTGCGATGGAATGCTGGCCACCCAGGGCCGATTGGCACTTCCATGAGTATTTGCTTGGTCTTTGGGGCTGTCTCATTGGTGAGATGATTAATCTAGAGGTTGGCTATCACCATTATTTGTGCATAACGACGCCATGCTAACACACAAAGTGAAGACCCTTGCCTAGGAGTGTAAGAAACGATAGAGATGAACTTTTTTCTTCACAAGTGCTCCATTCAATACTCCTGGTAGGCATCGATTGCTTCGAACCACGCTTTTTATTCGATTAACAATATTTTCCACAGGTGGTGTTGCTACTTTGGCCAATGTACTTACCATATTCTAGAGCTGTGGGGATAGCCACGTGAGTTTTGTGGGCATAACCACCTACCTAGACTGAAGTTGATTAATACTTGACAAATATATTTCCACACCTACAATTTAAAAGTACCAATGTTTTACAGCGAAGATATGACATTTTTTTCCCGGAGCAAACTGCGAAAGAAACTTTGAACTATCGCGTGGGGTGCGATCGACAATAACGATCAGGGATGGTGCTTGGCTGAGCCAGATCAATTTTAAAGGGGGTGGAAAAAGTGGAAGAGAGCCCGATGTATAAGTTCTGCCTTGAAATCATCCTAGATGCCAGGACACAAAGGTTGCACCCTTCGGAGCCTAATGCCCCAGCCAGAGGCACCAAATAAAACATCGGGTTGGGACATTAACATAGAAAGAAAAGAAAATTCCGATCCTTCAAACAAATACGCCTGTGTATGAGGATGCTAAGGGGGAGGGGTTACATGATGGTGAATCTTGTTTATCGTAAATCAAAAGGGGCGCGGATAAAGGGGGAAGGGAAATGAGAAAATCGTGACAGGGTGGAGGCGACAAACAGGGAATATGGAGGAGAAAGTGAAAATAATTGTGCGGTAATTAGACCGCGACACGCGAAGCGAATCGTACTCGGAGGGGAGAAGCCGAGATTGGGTGCACTAGGTGTCAGATGAGATGCCCTTGCAACTTCGCGTGTTAACAAAAGTACAATTTGTGCAACTCGAGCGGGAAGCGAGTCCGGACATGGGGCGGGGGTGAAAGCAAAAAGGGAGAGAGCATTCGAAAATGAACCCCTTTACATATCCATGGAATCACCGCCGTTAGCGAAGTTGAATCCACCGGGCTGCTGCTGGCCGGCACCGAGAGCGAACCCAGTAGAGGTTTGCTGGGGAGCAAGCTCATCGATGTCGCCAGCACCCTCATCCTCATCAGAGAAGTACTTCTCGATGATGTTGTACGCCTTCATGTAAATCTCCTCGTTGGCGTTGTTCTGGCAGTCGTGGATCTTCTCCATACCACCAGCCTCCTCGATGAAGAGGGCATAGCGGTTGACGCGGGCCTCACCCTCGCCAGCCTCCTTATCCATATCGCCAACCTTCAGAATGTTCTCAAGACCATCAAGGGCAACCTGAATGATCTTGTTGTCGGGGCAAGCGAGGAGGTCACAGAGGGGCTTGATGCAACCTTGAGAGACAAGGTAACGAATCTGATCGGGCTTCTGCAGACCACCAGAGGTGGCATTGGAGATAGCCCAGCAAGCTTCCTTGCGGGTCTTGAAATCACCGTTGGCGAGTAGGTTGATCAGAGGGGCAATAATACCAGCGTCAATGACGGCCTGGATTTGGCTGGAGTTACCAGCAGTGACGTTGGAAATAGTCCAGCAAGCCTCCTTGCGAATACCATCCTTAGTGGAGCTGAGGAGAGACAGCAGAGCGGGGAGAGAGCCGCAGTTGATGATGACCTGGGTCTGGACATCGTCACCGGTAACAATGTTGCCCACGGAGCGGAGGGCGGGGGTCTGAACGGAGGTGGAGGCGTGCATGAGGAGCTCCACCAGTCGGCGAGGGATACCGGCCTCAATAACGGCTTGGATCTTGTCGTTAGCACCATCGGAAAGGTAGGAGATGGCCCAGCAGGCATCAATCAGAACCTCGTCGTCCAGCATGTAGATGAGCTTGGAAAGAACGGGCAGAGCGGGGGCGATCTAGGCCGATGTTAGTTTCAGATTTTTAACTAAAAGGAGAGGGTTGACAAAACATACAGTGTTCCAGTCGGGCTGAGGAGTCTTGCCACGGCAGAAGTTGCTAAGAGTCCAGGTAGCGTTGCGAAGCATGCTCAGCTTGCGGCCATCGTTGATGAGGTTGAGCAGAGGGCGCAGGGCACCAGCGCCGAGAACGAAATCACGGCAGTGAGGGCTGTCACCAGCAATGTTACCAAGGGCCCACACAGCCTGCTCGCGGACATCGGGCTCAGGGGAGGCCAGAAGCTCAACAAAGATAGGGACAGCACCGGCCTCGATGACGACCTGGGTTTGTTGGGCGGAACCGGAGGCAATGTTGGTCAAGGCCCAAGCGGACTCGAACTGGACCAGGGTGTGAGGAGAGCGAAGGAACTCAACGAAGCGGCTGACGACGCCGGTCTCGATAACACGCTCGATAGGAGGGTTGCGCTCCTTGGACAGCAATTTGCGGAATTTAGTAGTAGCCTGAATTTGCTCCTCAACTTGGTCGGAGAAGACACCCTTCACCATCTGGGGAAGCTCGACGTTGAGCTAAAAAATTCATTATGTTAGCTGTTTGTAATTCCCAGATTGTGGCTCGCAAAATATCGCATAGTGGGGTCGTGGGTATTTTGGTCCGTGTTGGAGGGGTCGGCCCCATGGCAACAGGGCGGTGAAAAAAATTCCATGTTGATGATCGCATCATGAAAACAAAGAACAGGTGGGCGCCATCACCGAGCAGGGGGATCATCGCTCAGATCATATGAAGCTTGTAAAAATTGCACCAAGGTGGACCAAGGCAAAAACGGGAATACGTTCAAGTAACGGAGAATGAAAAAGCAAAGTCAAAAAAAAAGTAAAAGTAAAAAACTTACCTCGCTCTCGATAGCACTAGCCTCATCATCACTCTCAGTGGCAGCAGCCATGCCACTACCACCAACACCGATACCTCCATCACTGGTTTGAACACCACGTCGCTTGGCCATGTTCTCCTCACGCTTCTGCTTCCGGATCTCAACCTGTTGTTCTTCACGGCGGCGGCGGAGCTCATCGGGGCGGAACTGGTTTCTCGCCTTGAACTGCGTCCGGCGGTGCTCTGGGATATAACGTTCGGCCATGGTTGCGAGTAGAAAATATGCGCGCCTCAGAAATCAAGTTTTAAAAAAGATGATAGGTGGGAATGGCGCGCTGAGGATGGGGAGGAGAGAGAGAGGGAGAGAGAGAGATGTGGGGGGAGAAGGAGAAGAAAGGATTCGTGTGTGTAAGGAGGGGGGGCCCGCGATCATGTGACGCTCTTTCCCTCCGACGGGGCGCATCTCTCAACTTTGCGAGCCTTTGTTTCCCTGACATATTCCTCAAAGTCGATTTCTCTGCTGATCAAACTTAATATTTCTTTGGAATCCTGGACGTTTTCTCGGAGATTGGTTCTAATCCCACGCGACGATGAGGGGTGTCCATTGACCGGCGCCAAGACTCAGCTGTGTCTCTTATTTTGCCATATGAGATACATCCAAAACTCTCTACTATCGGCAAAGACAAAACACTTCGATAGGGGGCCTTTCCCTTACATCTTCAAGTCTTCCAACAATCTGGACTCCTGGAGCTCTGTAATCATGGCCTCGACAGGTCTAGTCAGTATCGCCTCCGCATGTTCCACTCGGACAAAGGTCAACACCATTGGCGTGGTAGTGGATAAACTGGACCTCTATAAAACCCGAGGTTCTTCATATGGCGTCACATTTACCATCAAAGACTGCGAATTCGATGCTCCAACTTGGCAAGGCGGTCTCAAAGTCAAATATTTCAATGACAAGCAAGACGTGCTGCCAATTGTCGAGGTTAATGACGTAGTTCTACTTCGAGGTATCCGAGTAAGCTACCATATGTGTCTGCATGAGTGCAATTGTGACTTCAACACATTCAGTCATGTTAATGATCAGGACTGATTCAATAATATCTAATAGGTTACCAACTTTCAGGGCAAGCCAACCGGTGTGGCCTCACAGAATGACACGGTTTACTGGGCCATTTTTCGGCCGCAACCAGGGTCTGGGGATAGTTTTTCAGTTAGCCGTGGGCCCATCTCCTTTGACCCGGATCCAAAAGAGAAAATGATGGCAGCTCTACTTCTTGCAAATGTTACAGGCGAGGAGCAGCCCGCAGCTTTGCAGTCAATTGCAACACCAGCCCCAGCCCCAGCCCCAGCACAAGCTCAGCCAACAGCAATTTCAGGACAACCTTCCCAAAACTTTCGAACTCCGGCTGCTCCGCTCAACTTGAAACCATCATGCCTACCAATTACTCTTATCCAAGATGTGGAGGTTGGTCGACTGACCCAACTACTCGGCCAGGTAGTGAAGATGAATACATTTGACAGCGACAAAACCTTGATCTATCTTACGGATTACACCATTAATACGTCTCTCATGGACATCAAGAAAGACGATGAGGAAGATGGCATAGAAGGAGACGCCTATGGATACTTGACTCGGAAAAAGAAAAATTGGCCTGGCCCGTGGGGCCAACAAACAATACAAGTCGCTCTCTGGGAGCCCCATGCCAGCTTTGCACGTGAATATATCAAAGAGGGCAATCTCGTTCATCTCACATATGTACATGTCAAAGATGACCGTAGCGGAGGCATCGAGGCCGCTGTTCATAGGGACAAGCGTTTTGAAAGCAAGATCCATATCCACATCATATCAGACAAGTATGACGAACGCACACAGGGGCTTCTGGATCGCCGCAAAGCCTACTGGAAGATCCACGGGAAACCCAAGGTGGAAAGCGACCCGAACACAAACTCGAAGGCCGGGAAAGAAGCCGAGAAGCAGAAAAAGAACAAACAAAGTACACAGGAGGTCCGCAGGGAGGAAGGCCAAACGGAGTTACCAAGACCAACTGCGCGAAAAAAGACAAATTCAAACGGTAAGTAGCCTTGTCCTTTGGAGCCCCGCGAAAGATGCATACTTATATACTCGAAAGTCAAGTGCCTTAACTACGGAATTCCCGTTACTCGGGATGTCGATTCAATATTGTCTGCCGAAACTCATATCAACAAAATTTCTGGAGATGTTACCTACAAACTGCCCTTCCAGAATGTTTGCTATCGTCCTCTTGTTCGCGTCGTCGACTTCTACCCTCCAGACCTGGAAGACTTTGCAGTACAGGTTCCTTTAAACTCCATCGCTGACTACGATGACGAAGACGAAGTTTTGGGCCCCAAGTATCACACTTGGGAATGGCGATTTTGCTTGCTAGTCGAGGGAACAGAGCCCACGGACTCGAACCAGCAAACCAGAGAATTTATGCAAATCTTCGTCACTGATGGCGACGCCACTCATTTGTTAAATCTCGATGCCGATGAGTAAGTTTTGCCCACTGAACACCCGATTTTCCGAGCATTCGACTGAATGATAAAAAAAATTGCAGTCTACATACAAACTCGGATCGGCTGCATGAACTGAGAGAGAAACTTTTCGTGCTTTGGGGTGATCTTGAAGAACGAAAACAAGAATCCACCGCTACTGCCACTGGCGATGATGAACCATGGCAGCCTGTCAAGTCCTCCTCTTTGCCTTTTGAATGTTGTATTAAAGAGTACGGTGTGGAATGCAGCCATAAGGATCCGGATGCTATGGCTGTTGATGGGATCGATCAGGATATGTGCATCCAGCCCGGCTGCTTTGGTTGGGAGAGACGTTTTGCCATGTTTGGGACGACGATCCACTCATGACTCCGAGCTCATGTACACTAAAATAACAGTTGAAGTTATCTACAACAAGCACGTTACAAGACTACCAAGACTGTCAGTAATAACCCGGCAACCCATATGACCATCCGCACGCAAACTATGGTACCTCGGCCAAAAATCATCACTCCATCCATGAGCAGAGCTGTCAAGAGGTAAAAAGAGTAGTCGCGCCCGGGATCGAACCGGGAACCTTTTCGGTGTGAGCGAAACGTCATAACCATTAGACCACGCGACTTGATTATTAATACAAACTTGAAGTTCTGATCTGAGTCCTCTGGAACTTGATATATCAGATATTGTAGTGGGCGGTCCTTACGCCTTAAACTCAACTTCTTTGCGTATTATATGGTTAACTAACTCTCGCAGCTTGATTATAAACTTTTGTTTGCCCAGAAACATTCAGTCCCACTTGCATTATTGACTGGCAGCACATTACAATCACTCCGTTGCTTCTCGCTGCTGTCCAAGACCATTCGAGAATCCTGACCCCGACTGGATTGGCTCCGCCGAAGTACCCAGAAAACTATGACAAAATGATTCCCAAGGATAAGGCTCAAATTGACGAGCTTATCCCCTGTCAATGTATTTTCTATCTATATCGCGTCTTTAATGGAGGCCTCAATAAAGCACATCTTGAGGCTTTACAAGATCCCCGATCCTGTCTCGTCAGCATCTCGTCGATTTTACTGGACGCCAATGGTCTGGCAATCTAATGACTCTGTGAGGAAGTCTGATACGCATTCATGATACCTGGAACCATGTCCGAGGAGATTATCTCAGCCAGGAATGCCCTCTATCATTTTCCGAAGAGGAGCTTGCCGGGCAACCCGAGAACGAGCCGATGTGGTATAAATTAAATCATCTTGTCAGCCACTGGCGGGATGAACTAGGTGGTATATCAGAAGAAGGATGGGTCAGTACCGAGAAATTTGATCATGCCGTCAAACGAAATAATTCACACAAAGCAGAGTTCTCCGAGGGAGGCAGTGCAGACGAACTGGGGAACATTAGGCGGGGCTGGCCCTTCCAGGATCACGAGGAATTCTTTAAGTGAACGCTTAGTCTTAAGTACTAATTGTCAACCCCTTTTACGTAGACAAATTGTAAATTAGTTGAATTTTTCAGAATATCCAGTTTCCTCCGATATAATACCTACCTAGGTAGGTAATTAATGGATACTATTAGCTCCTGGGTTTATTACCTAGGTATATATGCTACTACTACTAGTAGTTGAAGTAAGGTATTTTATTATATCACACATAAAGGCACATCAATGAGAATACTGAAGCTATTTTGTGACTTATTGGTCGCGGCTCAGAACCACGAGGGCCCGTAAAAGCCCGGAGTATGATTACCCAGGCATATCATTGCTAAATAAATTCCTAATACAACAACGCTTTGTTCAAGAGAAATCCATCTGAACAGACTTTGGTGATCGAGAAGATATCTGAATAATCATTTTCTGGGTACGTAAATCTTTGTTTAAGATCGTCATGCAGGGGAGCTGCCGGTACCAGCTGTATTCACCTCAAACGCGGTTCGTCCAACATCAACAATAAGTAGTCGGAAGTTTAGCCGCGTGCAGCGTCTCCTCTATAAAAGCTGTAAAAGCTGTACCAATACTATGTCGGTAACAGATAATATAACCTTCAAGCCAGAATAGGTAGGTAGGTACTATCCGATGGTCCTATAGCAGAAGCCACAATACCAGCTATATCTACCATTTTATATAGCACCTTCTGGCCAAAAGGTGTGTATGAATTACTGCAATGTTTTTCATTAGGACTGACCCCTGTGGTGATACACATACAGCAGCTTTCAAGGTCTTTCTAAATGGACAGGATAGGTTGTTCAGAAAGCCAAAGAAGGGGTCCACTTATTAGTGCCTCCGTTTACGGTTTTTAGATAGCGCAGTACCGGGCGACAAAGTGTGACATTCGCGAGAATATTAAGCATAAGGGGAAAAGGAAGAGGAAGAGACTACACGCCAATACGAGATACAGATCTCGTGTGATAACGGGGTTTGTCATAGCCTTCTATTTCAGAATATTATATGCCATGGCTTTGCTTTGTCTGGTACATACGACCATAGGGTGTGGAGAACAGGGCTTCCCGTCCGCTCAGCCGTACTTAAGCCACACGCCGGCAGGTTAGTAGTATGGTGGGTGACCACATGCGAATCCCTGCTGTTGTATGTTTTTTTGGCCTTCTTACCTTGTGCTTTTTTTTCAATTTGTAGGTTACCGCCCTCCTGTGGTGATCTGCACGGCTGGCAATACTTCATGTCAAAATGGCCCTAAAACTAACTAACTAACTATCAGCCTCCTTTCTTTAACTTTACAATCCACCCATTTTTCAAGTTCATGATCCTTTGTCCATAATCCACTGAAGCTGTCCTCATCAATCCCGACAAATTTTAAAATATACCTTTCAAATACTACATATACTGCTTTTTTCTATTTTGTTACCAACCATGCCTGAGATACATTCAAGTGATATACTGCTGCCAAGCGAGGAGAGCTCTTTTCCCCAGGCGACCGAAGATGTTTCATCAAATATAGACTGTGATGAGTAGGAAGGGTTGACGCCAGAGAGCAAAATAGTATCTAACTCAAGCACGGGCCCTTTTCTTCTCATCATCATGGGGCCTGCTCTATTAGCTGGGTAGCTGATCGCAATCCTCTGCTGTATGGTTTTGAAGCTGGCCGATAAATGCGGTTTAGAATTATCGTCAAGTCATTCGATATTGCTTTTCTCTCAACTAGCTATGTGCGCATCGGTATGTTATCTTTGAGAAAACGTAGTACTACCCTTCTTCTCAAAAGAGAGTTTTATCTTATCAAACGGACTCGTTGGCGCGCGAACGAGCTTCGGAACTACGACATTACAAAGGTGCAACCTGGATTCATATAACAGCATCAATCTGCTCTGTGATGTTTATACCTTTGGTCTGTCCATTACGATATCTTGTCCTCGACCCAGAAAAAGTTCTAATATCTTCACAGCATACCCACTTGCTCAAATCCCTGGGGACCAGACGAGCTATGTTGATTGCATATAGTTCCTTATCAATAAGTACTGGTCTATCGTATGATTGCATTTATTTTGCCGGCTATAACTGTGGAAATAATCCACGCAGGAGTGACCACTGACTTCATGGCTTAGTGGACTGAGCGCGTCTTACTGGCAGCTACTGGGCTCATAATTCATCATTGGGCTTGGAAGCTCTGGAATCACTTTGTTTTCAATGATTGTCATTAATGGCAGGTGCCTCATTTTCACTGCAAGTTTCCGAGACTGACTGATCTACTCCAGAAATTGTTGGCGTAAAAAAGATTGCCCTTTGGGAAGTTTCGTGGCATGTATCGAGATGACCACTAGTATGTCTGCTGGCCCTTTGGGCTCTTGGATATACAGAGTACTCCTGGTGCTGATAGGTTTCTAATCCTGTCATAATTTGAAGAAACTAACCAAAAGCCAGCGTATTCTATCTTGAAGGCTTATTTGCGGCCGTAGGGATGGCTATTCTATACATCTCATTCATCAAGATCAGCTCCAACCCACGGTATTCTCAATCCACGTTGCTTGAGAAAGGGAGCTCACGAGTGCCCCGAATTGATATCATAGGTTGGGTGTTGCTTATTCTCGCAATGGCTACTCCGCTTATCTCTCTTACTTTGGGGGATAATATTATTGCCTTGAATGGAATAAGCCTGTTGAGGTCATACTGTTAATAAGTGGGCCAATTTTCATGTACTGCTTCATGAAGTTTGAAACAATATTCGCATCTACGCCGATTATGGATATGAGACCTGTTCTAAGGCCTTAATTTCTTACAGTTTTATTTCAAGTATTCGGCGTCTTGTCGATTTTGAATTCGGTACGGCACTGAAACTTCCATCAGTCACATGGTCCGGGGTGTTAACAAAACTAGAAGATAGCATGTATTGTTCCGCCTTATATTCAAGTTCATACCTTCGATGGCTCGCCTTTTGAAACCTCGGCCTTGACTTGTGTGTTCCTGGGATTTGCGTCGGGTGCAATTTTTAGGGGGCTATTTTGTTAAACGTGTGAGCTTCCCTGTGCAACAACTGATGTTAACCAATAGCGTGGTTTTGCTATGTATATGTGGGTTCTTTTAGCAAGAATCATTAGTAAGACTTTCATCCTCCCTCATTTTCATTCAGATTTCCTTTCGTCATTTTTGTCTGGTTCAAAATGACTGACCAATGTATAGAGCCCGAGTCAGCAGTATATTCGCCGTTTCTCGTTGCGTTTGGACTATCTACTGGAATCTGGCAAAGCTGCTTTTACATGTAACCCTTTCAAATACCAAAAAGCAATGTATGTGCTGGCTTATTCTATGTGTGATGATTAAACGCTCAAATTTTCATAGGGTGGCCCCAAACCCTGGCAATCTACTACATAACTGAAAATCTCGGTGGAGACTTGTGGATGGCATTGGTATTCACGATTACTCGCATCGTCCCCAAATTGGATATGCGGTCGAGCCTTGGTGACAATCCGGCTTCGCAGAAGGTAGGCTGTTTTGACCTTGGTTGCCGAAAGATTTGCTGACCATACAGATCATTGATAACGCGTTGCGAGATTTACAAATAAAAAGGGAGCTGGACACACGCTATGCATAGTTCTCCAGGTAAGTGCCATCACATAGCTACATGAACTATGCATGACTAACAGGATAATAGATCTAGTTTCACTTTGCGTGACTGCAACCTTAGTCACCGTTGTGGCTATGTGTATGAGTGTTTGGCCACCAAAACCAGACGAAGTGCCAAGTCTCTTTCAAGATGTTCCAGAAGCATAGAGAAATCTACATAAGGTTGAAAGGAAGAGTTCAAATTGGAAAGCCATCGGGCTTGGAGTGGGCAGAGGCTATATTGGGGTCATGTGCCTCATATTAGCTAATATCTCCGATTCAATACACCAAAGTCGCGTGGTCTAATGGTTATGACGTTTCGCTCACACCGAAAAGGTTCCCGGTTCGATCCCGGGCGCGACTACTTTTTTTGCCCTATTCCGGACCTTCTTTATTTCTATGTTAATTGGCTATCTTATTTTTAGTTGGCCTGGTGGTATTCCTGTCCATGCTTTTATTAAATCTAGTATTTCCCCTCGGCATTGACGAAAGCGAAGAAGGGCTCCGTGTTTTTGACACGACCCCAAGAAACAAATAATCGGCTTGCCCTTCAAACAGGAGTCATATTAAGAAAACATTATTTCCTTGCGTAAGCTACAACTCTCTGCCGATCATACTACCTAGGTATCTAGGTCGACATTTTCCATATTGCGAAATTGATTTGAACATCTCCCACTAGAACTCGAATCCTCCACGAATTGGTTTTCCCACCTGGGGATAGCTTTATCTGCTTCTGCGACCTCTGCTTTGGAATTTTGTTGATCCAACGCGAACTTCAAAGCTCGAATGATGACTCGGGGGGCATGTGCACAAACTTGAAGTACGGGGACGACTGGAAGAAGGACAAGTTGATGTTCTGATGGAGAATGGTATCGGTGATTTATTGGCACGCGTGTGTACATGCCCACTGGCAGGTGTTTAATTGCGTTGGGATCGTAGACTGGAGTCTAGACGGATTTCTCAGTAGCAGCTCGACAAGTTAAACTTGAATCAACCCCAAACTTGAAGAGGGTCGGTTATTGGACACCGTGAAACAGGAACCTAGGTATACTAGTAGTTCGGGGGGGGGGCAACCTCGGAGGCCGTGCTGATAGATATACTACTATCTGAGGAGGGTAGGTATCCTGGACTACATAGATGGTGATACTGATCTACCAGGTATCTAGATTTAAATATACCCTACCTAGATGAAATTTCCAAGTGAGTGCAGCGCGTCTAATGGCGAGTGGAGTACTCATGACCATCAGCACCGACATCATAGGTAAAATATGGATAAAAGGCTACAAAAAGCTTGTGCCAAGTGAAAAATACTTTGTTATTACTTGGACCCTCCAGGGCTTCGGCTAAACTCTGTACGGGCTTAGCGTATAATGCCATAATACAAGGGTCTTAGTTCCGCCTTCAGGGAGCTGCCCGCTCCCAGCCACTTCTCTCTCCTTCATTTGCAGTATCTCAATTAATTGAGACAGCCCATCACAATGAAACTCGGAAATGCTGTACTTTCTCTCGCAGCGTTAGTACGTATTTCTGTGGCTGGGAAACTTGGCTACTTCGATGATATCTCCATCTGCGCGGATCCGGATGGCCTGACGACGTGCTTCGATAGGGCGGAGACGCGACACACAACCTGTATCAGCGAGGAATGCCCAGATACCAAAGAGGAGAGTCAAAAATGTGCTGATGCCTGCGAGGGAAAGGAAATATGTGCCCTAAACTGTCCCGGTAACTGTGTTTCTCCTTGTGGGGCTGAGAGGGCTGGTAGCCAAATCGATTGTATCGCATCTAGCTGTTGGAATCAGGTTGGTACTACTCGCGCACTCCACCCTTGGACAATCTAACTCAGTCTTGATATGTAGGTTTACTCCTGCGAATACCAACATACTGTCGAAGACTTTATCTCGCTTTATCAAAAGGAATATCTCGATGATATTCCGTTCTGGCCCCCACCAGATAAAGCGCCTGGCGGATGCTCTTGTAACATCGGAAAAGTCCTCAAGAAGGAACTACAGATCGAGAACCATCTAACTAAATGTTTTGATAATACGACGAATCTTGACGGCAATGGGGGTGACTCTGATGATAACGACAAATACGTCATGGCCTGCCAATGCTGCGCAGAGAGTGCTGTTCGGTCAACGTACGTATAATCACTTGCCAAAGAATAGCGAACCCGTTGATAGACCATTTCTAATACAATCCAGGGTCTATGACACATGTCCCAACACCGAGCCCTCTACCATTGACGCCGAATATTGGTTTAATAGGCTAATGGATGAAAAAGATTGGAGTTCATGCAGATCAATTTTGGACGATTATGATTGCGTTGAAGATCTAGGGTATGGGGCTGAAAATGCTGGTGGCACTCATAAATATTACAAGCCTGGGGAATCTCCAAAGAATGGCACGGAGACTCTTTCTAACACCAATGGTGTTATATCCACGCCTATTAGCGGGACCAGCTTTACTTGGGATTATAGCACAGACGTGCACACTGTTATCGCCAAGTCGACAGACTATGTTGCCACGGCCAGTGCAGCTGTGACTCCAGCCAGTACTACGGACACTAGGAGTGATACCGATGTCAGCCAAACAGATACCGGAGCCGGCAATACGGCGACGGGCAAGAGCTCTGCCTCTGTATTTGCTGCGCAATTGTGGAGAATCATCGGCTTGGTGGTTATATTGGACCTGGGATTGATATGGTGATACTAGTAGCGTTAATGTAGGTAATTGAAATAATTTGACGGCCTTTGAACTTGTAGATTCCGGCGGAAGACTGACATGAAGATGACACAGGTTATTATGGAGTGAATCAGCGCAATGGCGTTTTGGAAAACAATCGCTGGAACACCTGGGCAGGAATACCCACTGGCAGGTGGTACTCAAAATACACGTTAATTTACTACTTTAGAGTGTGCTGTCGATACTAGTATATTGGCAAAAATGGTCTCCATGGTCTGCATAGTTGAATTATCGTATTTGATAGTAATACACTTTCTTAGAATAAGATGATTGAATATCCCGAGTGACTGGGTACATCCATGATACTATTGCCACATTCTCGGTGATGAGTATATTATGTATTCCCACCTCCATCAAATTCCTGACGCCTTTATCGAAACGCCGAAAGAAAAAATCCAGTTGCCAGCATTCCAGAAAGTTTCAATGAACCCACAAGAAATCAAAACCTAATCAAGGCGAACTCCCCTGCCAAACTTTATCGTAGGTAGGACAAGAGGTAAAATCATATGTTGTGTAACGAGAAGTAGAAATATGAGTGCCGAGGATGCAATGCCCTGAAACCCACACCGAAATTTGCAGACGCCCACTCAGAGCCCAGTCACGCCGAGACTGATAAAAAAAGTACAACTCTTGAAATCTCATGTATCTGGCAAGACCAAAAACAGCACAATATGACGAGGATAATTTGTTTTCGGACGTAAGAAAAAGCCAGGTCGTATGATTCTAAACCTTTGTCACTTTGACAATATTCGTGTCGATGCCATGTGCTACTGGCTCAAAGCGACAGCTGTCACCTCGGAAGCAAGTCTTTTTGCCAGGCTCACTCTGGGGGCAACGGTGGCCGTAGATACACTCCGGGTCGTCACATTCGAGTCCAAAACGACAGGGAGTCATGCGTGCGATAGCCGACAGAATATGAAGTTCTTGACGAGTTAATTTGCGATCGTGGTCATGATAGCAGTTTTCCTCGTTAGGGCATTCCCCGAGGAGGAAATGGTAATTGCAGAGCTTCAACTTCTTCAAACGATTGAGTTCATCGCGAGGAATGCTCTTGAAGTCGAGACGATCCACTCGCTGTCCATATTTATTCCTCTCCACAGTTTTGGCAGGGGTGGTTGATGTTTCTGTCTTGGAACGAACAACCTGGAAGTCGGGAGACCCGCCCCCTTCGTTAGGAGTCAAAGTTGTCAAAGGGGCCCCGGCACCTGAAATGCTGGTGTTGGTTGAAGTGCGGGATAGAGGCGGGGGCATCGAGAACTGTCGTGATGGAGATGGAGTGAGCAGGGTCCGCGAAGGTAGATTATGAGTATTCTTCCACGCAGGAGCCCAAGCAGGCGCCAGTTTGACGGAACGGAAAACTTCTGGAAATTTGGCGATGCGATATGAGTTCTTGACTGTCTCAAGCTCTTTCTCAAAGGCAACGCCTTCCACAAGAGAAATACGGCCAGTAAGATCGCCCTCTTGCAGTATGTCCTCCAGGAAGTTCGTGTATTCGGTATTTGAAGGGCAGCCTAAAAAGATCTGGTGGCAATGGCAGTTGTAAAGGAAGACCTGGAGAGTTTCTGGACGTGAGGATAATATTAGCAAGGTTGACATAGGTCGATGTCTGTGCGATTCAGGGACACAAACCTTTCATCTTATCGAGAGCCTTGTTTTGCCCAGAGCCAATATCCACGATCTCCGAGAAGGACATGGTCTCATTGAAACCTCTGATGAAATCGTGAATTCCAGAGGGGTCTGAAACCAGACCACTCCGAACGCACATCTCAGCAAAGACCCTCATATTCAAATAAATCTTTGTCAATAACTTCGGTACTTTAATATTCGGGAGGTTCGCCGTGACGTAGGTATGAAGGGCGTCGTAAAGCTGCTTGGCGGCATTGCGACCGCCGTCTTCGCCTTGCTGGAGGAATTCATCCTTGAAGATTATTCCTTCTCCATCTAATAGTACGACGACAAAAGGTTCTCGATCCTGGAGGAGCCCGACACGTATCAGCGCACGCTCAGGTGTTGGTTCACCACCGCGCTCACCATAATAGACTTGATCTGGTGTATCTGTTGCATCAACTCCATTTCGTGAAGTTGAATATCACGATTGAAGCGAGTCTCGCGTTCATGATCAAGTTTCTCTTGTTGGAAGGAGTTCTCGAGCTCGGTCACCCGTTTAAGGAGCTCCTATCGTACGATGGTATCGCGTTAGCCTGGCACATGCGAAAGAAGGGAGGGAGCGACAGCAGCAGGTACCTCGATGAGCTGATTCTTCTGCTGATCAACAGCGCTTAACTGGCGATATCGGTCAAGATAGGAGGTTGAATCCATTGTGCTGGAACTTTATGAGTGGGTTGTGGAAAGAAAAGTGGGTTGGAAAGTAAGGTGAAGAAGAGTTGGATCTTCAGAACGAGAAAGTGTCATAAAGTTTCCAAAAGCAATCAGGCGCTTGCGCGATCGTCACGGCGTTTTACCCTGCAAATGGGAAAAAAAAGATCCAAAGAATCACGCTGGAAATTTTAGCGTGCTTTGGCGTCTGCCGGTAAGGCGATGAAGTGGAGATTGGCCCTCTTTTAGCTTTATCTTTCTACCCTCTTTTTTTTAAAAAAAAAATCGAACCTCAAAAGGGCGACGAGATAAAATGCTTAGTAACAGACCTCAGCCAATCGGAGATGGCTGTTCACACTTCACAAATTTACTATAGGGACACTATATTGCTGAGTCAGCCACATGCCTCTGCTAAATACCATTTCTCTTTGATTTGCCCCAATATATGGAAAATAATTTATTTAAAGTGAGTCTGAAGATTATTTATGATTTAAATAAGTATTCTACTTAGTTTTCTTCCAGTTCCTCCCCAAATGAGTCGGAATTGAGATCTGATGAAATCTGATGAGATCTAATGCGTGTGGAAGCTGTCACGTGCTTATACTCCACTGGTGACTCAGCAGAATGTAGTCTGCTTAGTAAATATTTGTAGTGTCGGAGAGAGTTCCCCGGCCAAGTGGACCTACCTAAATTGCAACGTGTGATCACCCTCACCCTTGTGTACCTCTTTACCCTCACCTCGTTCTTTCTCCAGGCACTCAAGATGACTCGTTTCGGATTTCTCTCTCTGGCTCTCCTCTCTCTCCAGGCCTTCGTCGGCACCGGCTTTGCTGCTGTGAGTTTCGCCAATGGCTTAATTGATTGAATTCGCGTGACTCTTCGTCGCGACCCATAAGGAACTCAATTGACTGACTTAATACTCTTTGTTTTCACCAGGATGCTGAGACTGTCGCGGAGACTGAGGTCGCCAACCTTGCTGTCACTGCCGAGGCTTCTTTCCCCGCCTCTGAGATCTTTGGCGTCAAGCTCATCAATGGTCGTCCGACCGAAGCGCTGATCTCCATCACCAACGACGAAGCAAGCCCCGTCACCGTGAACTTCCTCGGAGGCAGCCTGTGGAACCTTGAGGAGGACAGCAAGGTCGTCCGCAACCTGACTGCCACTCGCTATGGCGTTGAGGTCCCTGCCGGCTCGAAGGAGACCATCCCCTACAGCTTCGCGACCGAGATGCACCCCCAGGATATTCGTCTGAACATTGCCGCCATTCTGTCGGACAGTGAGGGCAAGTTTTTCACCGTTCAGGCCTTCAATGGCACCGTGAGCGTCGTGGAGCCCGAGACTAGCATCTTCGACCCCCAAATGTAAGTCGCAAATCCCGGACCCCATTCCGTGTCGTCAGCCCATTGACTGACCATTCGTAGCATCTTCCTCTACTTGTTCCTCCTGGCTTGCTTCAGTGGTACCGTCTACTTCACCTACAATGTCTGGGTCGCTCCCTACTTCCCCCAGAAGCGCAAGAGTGGCAAGACTGGCGAGAAGCGTGCCGCTGGCAGCGCGAAGCGTCCCGAGACCCCCGCTGTTGAGGAGACCCCTAACCCCGCCGTCGCCTCCGCTACCACCTACAACGCCGACTGGATCCCCTCCCACCACATCAACCGCCCCGAGGCGCGCAAGGTCAAGGGTAGCAAGAAGCCCCGCGTGTAAACCATACATGTGCAAGAAACACTAGTGTGAAGATAGCAATGTTGGAGAATTAGAGGCTAGGGGTTTATCCCTTTAATGCCTACGGAGTTGTTGCTGATCTGAAATGTGGAAATTTTGAAGTGTGCTGAGAATGCATACGACTCATTGCTAGATTCGGACAAGCATGTACATTTAAGAAACTGAGTTGAACTCTTAAGGCTTCTCTAGGTGTCATTTGGAGAGGCTAATGGGAGTTTTGAATTACAGGTTTAATCTAAACGTGGAAAGTTTGTTGCCGACACAGTTGGCTCCTGTCTGACACACCTTAACTCGGTTATAATTTTCTCCATTCTAAGAATTCCTGCTCCAGATGACTCTTCAACTCAGTGAATCTGTTACCAAATTTCTTGCCACAGCGCCAGCAAGTAAAGTCTTCCTTTAGATAGTTTTGGCGCGTTGGCTCCCTCCGTGGGTCGCCTTGGGCCAACGGAAAATCATCGAGGGGCACGAAGAAGGGTGTCGCAAAGCTATTATAGTGCTTCCGGTGTTTCAAACGGTCACTGTAGCGATCCACCGCAATCACATGTACATGCAGGTGATTCATTGAAGGCACGGCATGGATCCCACACATGAGCTCCTTGTCCCAATCTCGTCCCGCGGGTAGTTCATCTGGCGGGGGGGTCAATGTTGAGAGCGCTTTGCCTTTCCTGTTCTTGGACAGAGTATTTCCCATATTTGCGGCGTAGCTCGGCAGCTGCGTAAGAACGAAGCTTTTGGGCCTCAAACTTCACTTTGGCAAGGAATTCGGGGTCTTCGAAGGCTTCGAAAGGGTGGAGGTGGGTTTTGGTCTGGTCGCGAGGGAGGAGGAGCAAATGGAGCGAGGATTTTGGAAACATGTCATGTATAGCAACGAAATCTGCGTTATGAGAGATCACGACATTAGAAGGATAAATCTCTGGGTTCGTGATGTAGGCCCCGAGCCCATCGCGTCCTCCAAAAGATTGGGGCTTTCTCGATAGGCTAGGCGCCGCGTGCTTGGCTTGTTTATGGTGAGAGGACATTAGTTCGGTAACTGCACATGAAAAGAAATGGCTTGTTAGTCTTAGTCGAGCGATTCTTCTCAATAAGCACGAAGATCAACTCACAAGCGTTTCTCTTCTCCGCGGTTCTACTCCGCGGTTCGGATGGAGGATTAGAGCTCGCAGATGCTTGCTCCATGCCAGACATGAGAGAAGATATATACTCCCAACCTTGGAAGGAATCACATGGGAACAAAGGATAACGGGTAATCTATGCGGTAACGAAGACAATCAGGTGGGATGGGAGGAGAGAACAGGAGCCGCAGGAAAGAAGCGCGGCGATCTTCAAATGCCGTCAACTTTGACTCCCCGCAATCCCAATCTGGTTTAGTGCGGGCCCATCGAAAAGCAATTCATCGGTGAAAGTGAGCAAGCACTATTCTTCCAACAATGGGCCCCAAAAAGAAGGTAGACAACCGCGGAGGCGGTCCAAAGCCTGGAACGAAGCAGGCCAAGGCTGCGGCAGAGAAATCAGACAAAAAGCCCGCCCCCGCCGCCCCTGAGGAGCCGAAAAAGCCGACCGTGAAGGAGGTTATTGGTGGCGCATCATGGACAGGCAAACTGCCAGTGAACATGCTCTCAGAGCATTGTCAGAAACAGAAATGGGAAAGGCCGGAGTACGGCATGGTAATAATCCCTTGGCCCAGGATGCTTAATGTGCGGTTGCTGTGATCAAAATGCTAATGCTATCGCGATAATATTACAGATCCAATCTCGCGATGGCTTCATGTCCTCAGTAACCCTCAAAAAGGTTGACCCCAAAACCAAAGAATTGACTGTTCTCCCACCGATGAAAGTACCTCCCTCCCATAAAGAAGCTGCGACGCATTCTACGGCCCTGGAAGCCCGCCATTTCGCCGCTGCATTTGCCCTTTTCCGTGTCTGCAATATGCGCAACCTACACATGATGCTTCCACCAACATACAAGAAGCTATGGAGAGAAGATTTCACCGAAATTAAGACATCCGATACAAAGGAGGGCAAAGGTTGGCTTTATGAAGCGGATCCATTCTTAGCCAAGCAAGAGCGCGAGAGTGCGGCTGCCGATCTGGAGAAGAAGAGGGCGGAGCGTCTCAAAGCACAAGCCAAGGAGAAAGTCTCTTCTGCCGATATTGGACTTGGAAGTGGAGATGGCAAAAGTAAACGCATTTGGTCACAGGCTCCCAAAGTGGACATGGGTGCTCGCATCCGTCGTGATATTGAAGGTCTTTTACGGCAACATACTGTTTGGAACGCACACGGCGTGAAGATTCCACAAAAGGAAATGCAGGCCATCGTGGAGGAATTTTCAAAACTTGGGTTCCGTCGCAGCCACGTTGAAGAGGCTGCAGCTGAATGTAAAGACCGCGAGGAGGTGCTGGAGTGGCTGCTTGTCTATGTCCCTGAGGATGATCTGCCGCGCTGGAGTTTACCTGAGGGTTACTCTGCCGGTGTTAGTCTTGCGTCTGGAGATCTAGCCCGTGAAGCCAAGATCAAAAGACTTGCTTCGGTTGGTTACCCGGCCGATCTTTGCTCTCAAGTACTCGACAGCAAGAAGGGCGATGAACTCGCGGCCGCAGAATATCTGCAAAGCACATTGGCCCATGGAGCAGCGTTCGCCTCTGCTTCCACGCCCGATGGCGATGCAGAGGCTTGGAACGAGGAACAAGAGACTCTCGAGGCTATTTTCGGTGAACGCTATTCCCGAATTTCAGACAGGGTCTGCGAAATCAAGAGCGAGGCCTCCGAGCTTTCAGAAAATACCATCATTCGCTTCCAGGAACCATCTACCCATTACCCAACCACCCCGCCTGTCATAATCATCCAGGCTAAGAGTATACCGGCCTATATTCGACTCAGCGCTATTCGTCGGGCGGTCCAGTATGCCGAAGAAAATTTCAGCGGAGAGTCTATGATCTTCAACATTTTGGACTGGTTGGAAGTTAACCTTCCTGATATCATGGAGAACCCTGGCAGACTACGAGAGATCTCCGCTGTGACTGCTTCGTCATCAGCTGAAACTATGGAGATTCCTGTACGATCTAGTCGCAAGCAACGCAAGGGTATCGACTGGAAGCCCAACTCTCCTCAGAGCCTCGCCATTCGGGATGCATGGGAAGTCAAGCAAGACACTACGGCGCAGATCGATATGTCCCGTAAACGGCAGTCGTTACCAGCATGGAACATCCAAGATGCTATTATTCAGACCGTCAACTCAAACCAGGTTACCATTATCTCTGGTGAAACCGGCAGCGGTAAAAGTACACAATCTGTACAGTTTGTCTTGGATGACATGATTAAGCGTGGGCTTGGGGGAGCTGCAAACATCATCTGCACTCAGCCTCGAAGGATTTCAGCCCTTGGTCTCGCCGATCGTGTCAGTGATGAGCGTTGCTCAACCGTGGGTGATGAAGTTGGCTACGTGATTCGTGGCGAGTCGAAAGCCAAGCCGGGTGCTACCAAGATCACATTCGTGACTACTGGTGTCTTGCTCCGCCGAATCCAGTCCGGCGGTGACGCTGATGGCAACATTGGAAGTTCCTTGGCGGATGTTTCTCATGTTGTGGTTGACGAGGTCCACGAGCGTAGTTTGGACACTGATTTCCTCTTGGCCCTTCTCCGCGATGTTCTACGCTACCGAAAGGATCTGAAGGTCATTCTCATGAGTGCTACACTCGATGCGGATATCTTCAGAAATTACTTTGGTGGCTATGATAACGTTGGCCTTGTCAACATCCCAGGCCGAACCTTCCCTGTTGATGACTACTATCTCGATGATGTGATCAGGTATACGGGCTTTGCTCCCGAATTGGATGATGACTTTGAGGAAGATGCACCACGAGAGCAGGAGTCCTTGGGCAGAGCTCTTCGAAGCGTCGGCATGGGCATCAATTATGAATTGATTGCGACCACTGTCGAATACATTGATGATCAACTAGGCGATAATCCTGGAGGCATTCTCATCTTCCTGCCAGGAACTATGGAAATCGAAAGATGTCTAAATTTCGTCAGGAGAATCCCTAATGCACACCCGCTCCCTCTACATGCCTCTTTGCTGCCAGCTGAACAAAAGCGTGTCTTTCAAAGTGCGCCCAGAGGAAAGAGAAAGGTTATTGCCGCGACTAATGTGGCGGAAACATCCATTACAATCGAGGATGTTGTGGCCGTCATCGATACTGGCCGAGTGAAAGAGACCAGTTATGATCCAAAGGACAACATGGTCCGTCTTCAAGAGGTATGGGCATCACAGGCTGCCTGTAAACAGCGCCGCGGTCGTGCAGGTCGTGTCCGTGCCGGCACCTGCTACAAGCTATACACCCGCAAAGCTGAATCGAATATGGCTCAACGACCCGATCCTGAGATTCGCCGCGTTCCTCTGGAGCAACTATGTCTGTCTGTGAAGTCCATGAAGGGCATAGATGACGTCGCCACGTTCCTTGGAAATACCATAACTCCTCCAGAAAGCATTGCTGTGGAAGGTGCCCTCAACTTCCTGCATAGGATCGGAGCCATGGATCACGACAGCCTGACAGCGCTGGGCCGATACCTCTCCATGATTCCAGCCGATCTTCGCTGTGCCAAGTTAATGATTTACGGTTCGATCTTCGGCTGCATGGAGCCCTGCCTAACCATCGCCGCCATCTTAACAGTCAAGAGTCCCTTCGTCTCCCCCGCGAGAAACGAGAAGAAGCAGACGCCGCAAAGGCAGCCTTTTCACGTCCTGGCGATGGTGATCTTCTCACCGATCTACTGGCCTACCAGTCCTGGTCCGAGCTTGTGCGTGCCAATGGCTACTGGAAGACGCAAACTTGGTGTGCATCGAATTTCCTCTCCCACCAAACCCTCCGTGACATTTCGTCCAATCGTGCCCAATTCGTCACATCCCTCAAGGATGCGGGAATCTTGCCGGTAGCTTACACCGATGCATCCGCAACCTGGAACCGCAACGCCTCGAACCGAAACCTCATCCGTGCGCTGGTGGCCGGCGCATTCCAGCCGCAAGTCGCGCAAATTTCCTTCCCGGATAAGAAGTTTGCCAGTTCGGTGACTGGTACGGTCGAGGTTGACCCGGATGCGCGGACGATCAAATACTTTAACCAGGAGAATGGCCGCGTCTTCATTCACCCTAGCTCCATTCTCTTCTCGGCGCAGGGATACCCCAGCTCAGTGGCTTATCTGAGTTACTTTACAAAGATGGCGACAAGCAAGGTCTTCATCCGTGATCTCACTCGTAAGTTTATCATATGGTTTCAAAACCTTGCTTTGCAATTACTAATCTAAGTTCTTGCAGCTTTCAACGCCTACTCTCTCCTGCTATTCTGTGGCTCCATCACTCTCGACACGATGGGCCGTGGTCTTGTCGTTGATGGCTGGCTTCGTCTCCGTGGCTGGGCCCGGATCGGCGTTCTCGTCTCCCGTCTACGAACCATGTTGGACGAAGCCCTTGCTGCGCGTATTGACAATCCGGCTCTTGGATCAGATGGTGGGGCGGGTGATAAGGTCATTGAAGCTGTGAAGAGACTGATCGAGTTCAACGGACTTGATCAATGATTGGTAGACACTTTGGCACATTGTCTCTGCTGAGTAAAGAGTGTTTTCTTAAAGACCAAAAGTACATTTCATGATCATAGACGAATTCACTATCCATTGCACTGGGATTGCACACCGAATGCTCTTCCGAAGGTTGAGACTATGCTCACTGCCCAGGTCGTAACCATGAGAGGAACTAGGCCTACGAAGAATCTGTGTACTGAACCATACTTTGTATTGACCCGCATAAAGCTATCTTCATGTGCAATATCTGCCTAGTAATAGGAATCACGTAGCGATAATATGCAAGGAAAGACATCCTGGGTAATGTACGTGGGAGCATGCGATATGGTGCGACTGGAAAAAGGAAAGTGATCGGAAGAGCGAACATAAAAAAGGATCGTGATTAGAGTAGGCGCCCGAAGGCGAAACTGAAATTCAAATATGCTTCGTCACGGGAATAAATCACCGGCAAAAGAAAGAGGTATGTATCGTGAATGGAAAGAAAAAGATGAAGAGAAAAAACACCGATGAAGAGAAAGCGGAAGAGAAAGGGAATTAAGACGCCGGAGAAAGCAGACCATGTACGAAACGCCTCCCGACCATTAGACTCCTCGCGTCCGGCACATGGCGTCAAGTCATACCGATGTCGTGAGGCTTGAAAAGGGGTAGTAGTGGTAGAAAAGATGTGTCAAAGAAGAAAAAAACGCCAGTCGGTATCCAGTTTCACTGTTCACTCCGAAATTCATCCTTAAACCCAGAAAGCAATGCTTGAAATGAGATACGAAAAACGGGTAGTGAGTGTGTTGTGTGATACGCGAAGAATCAGGGAAGGTATCGCTTGAAGAAAAGGAAAAGTTCAGTAATTCTCGGTACCGTCCTGACGGTGAGGATTCTTGAGCGATGTTGGCTGAGGAAGTGTGAAACCACGGTGGATTTCAGCCTCCACGTAAAGGGAGGCGCGCTTGAAGCGGCGATCAGAATATTTTTCGAAGATCGCCTGGTGATGGCGGTGTGGGTCCTCGCAGCACTCCAGCATGGTCGACATGACGTGCTGCAGCTGCTCGTAGAGGTAGCCGCTGTAGTATGCGTGGGCGGGTGTCTATAGTTAAGAAATATAAGCAAGAGGCAGGTGAGAGTGATGGTAAGGAGTTATCATACCCAGCATCCCTTTTGGAGCATGAGGCGCGCCAGACAGTGAGCACCGGCAGCAGCAAAACTTGGTGGTGTGCAGACGAATCTCTCATCCATGATGGTCAGCTCAAGGAAGTACTTGGCGACTGTTCGAGTCTCCAGGTCGTAGTCATCAGCCTTGCTAATGCGACGGAGAAAGCTCATTGGGCCTGGCCATCCAAGGTCGAAATCAAGGATTGATAGCATGAAGCGCTCGGCCTTGAGGATCTCGTCAACATCATAACCACCATCAACCATGTAGACAATCTCCTGGACCGAAGGGGCAGTGATCTCTTCGTATTTGGCAGCAATGAAGATAGCTGTCGCGCCGACCAGCTGTAGTTTACCGAGTGATACGATCTTATGAGAAAGGAAGCGATCGATATAGTTGACGCAGAGGAATAGGGTCTTGGGGAGCAAAGCGAATCTAAAGTGCACTTGCACCAGCCAGTCCATGAGGACAGAGCGCATAGACCACTGAATCTCGGCTTGATTGGCCATGTAATCAGGGACAGGAAGCATATCGATCTATGAGGAGTTAGTATCTGTCGATTGAATCGAGTAATCGTATCACATACCTCTTTCTGTCGAAGGTGCAAGAAGATCTCACTGCTGTATTCTGCCACCATGCTCGAGTCGAAGAAGTCTTCGAGGATATCTTCCTCCGTCCTTGAGTTATCCACAATACCCTTTGCTTGGAGCATCTGGCGTTTGGTCACGGAGGTGATACGGGGAAAGATGACAGTCGTTGTGCCGCCGGTAGTATTATCGGCGCGTGAGAGGTAGGGCGGGAGGTAGTCGACCTCTTCATCCTCCCAATCATCTGCCTCGGGCTCAGAGGTGACGGTAGCGATGTCATTGGAAACCTGTGAGGTGGATGCAGGGTATTTAGTATATTGAGAGGAGGAGGCCTTGGTCTCCTCGGAGTCGGAAAGGGTGTCATCAGATCCCGGAAGCTTGTGAGCTTCCTCCCACTCATTGACTTCCACCTTTTCGAGATCGGACACAACAGACTCATCGACAGCTACTGGTTTCTCTTTCTGGACATTGTTCTTCTGGGTGATCTTGGTTTCGGCTAATTGTGCGCTGCGGCGGACAGGCTGGGGAACTTCCTTGGATGATTCGCGTTCTGTGACAGGTTCGAGTTGATCGCGGAAAATGACATTGCTGCGCTTCGCAGATTTCGCAGGCTGAGCCTTTCCGGCGGGGTTTATTGGTTTCGCAGTTACATTGTTTAGAAGACCTTTAATGCCGGAAATCGAGATGGGACGTTGGGCGGGCTGAGCCAAGGGGGCTTTGTTGTTTTCAGCCAGCTGAATGTTTGGTTTACCACCAATGGCCGAATCATCGCGAGAGGATCGAGTCATATCTTTCGTGTTGCTAACATCGCCGAATGCTCGTCTAGCACCATTCTTCGCGTTCTGGGCGACGAGGCTGAGGGCTGGTGTCGACTTGTTGCGCTGGTGAATGACCTTGCCTGCCTGGAAAGACGGTGGGATGTTCTCGTCCCCGCGGAAGCGAATTCGCTGTGGCTAAATGATTTAGTTAGTATAAATGTCATTTGGGCGCGGTTGACTGCAACAGTAACAAATCAACAAGTCGATGTATAGCATAGTTGAAGCATCACATCCACCCCAATAATTGCGCGCAACCACGACGTGCAGGCTGTAAGACGAGAAAAATGAGCAATGCAAAAAACAGTCACATACCTTCGCATCCATCTTGAATCTCTGGTCTCTGCCGAGAAGACGATGGCAGGAGAGGGTTGTTGGTTGTGAAGAAGGAGGATGATGAGGAGGAATTGGAATTGTTTATGTTTTGCTCTGTTCAGATGGAAAGGGCCGGGTGGACCCACCTCCTCCAGTCGTTGCAGCAAAACAAACACTCGAGGCCCAGTCGTCACGTAAGGGCGTTACACCCCCTGTCACTGCAGACAACGGTCGCCAGGGTTATGGGTATGAAACCGCCCTTTCATCCGAGAAAAGCTTGGATATGGTTTCAGGTTTGAAAAAGAAGGGTACCTTAAGGTAACACATAAGTGATGAGATTGGTGAATTGTTTATAGTAATAGTCACTTGAAGGTTAAGACCTTGGTGAATGACTCGAAGCGGCTCCAAGGCAGCCTCGTAATTTTACATGACAGCATTCTTACCAAACGTATCCACGCGCCCGCTATCCCAAATGTTTGCACCCTTTGTTCCTGCTTATGTCAGCCACGTGCCTGGCAAGCTTATCAGCTTATCTATGACGTTATCATCTTATCGTCACGTCTCCCTCGGCGATGCCATTTTTGTATTTTCTCACCAAATCACCCACTCCAGGGGTGAGAAAGTCGTAAAAAATTATCCATGATGTCGTGGAGATATTTCTACTCAATCCCGATTGTTTTTAATATTCCAACCCTCTCAAGGCGGTTGCAATTGCCGCTAGGGCTGACGGGTGGCCCCGGACGCGCTGGCACGCGGACCCACGTGACCCCGCCGGGTGAAGCGGTAAGTGTTCAGTCTGCCAATGACCATTAAGTTGACTCTGAAGTGGCAGGTCTGCGATCTCAGCCGAAGCGCATCCGAACTCGCTCATTATTGTGACAAAAATTGGGCATCGTTTTTTTTCCCGCTCCGAGTGGGCGGCGGGGCGCACCACATCGGTTGGCTGAGAGCAGTTGAAGGCGGATGTGAATTTTGCAACTATCGGTCTGGACAACCCATTCGCTAGCGCACGTTCCTTACCCCGTTCTGGCCCTTTTTTGGTTGCCAGCGGTTCCAGAGTTCTGACTTGCTTTGTCGCAATTCGATCACATCAAAAGGTGTGCTCTCGTAAGGCTACAAAACACACTTTATACACTCCGAAGCTTCCTCCCCAATTCCGTTCCCCCTCCTTCTCCTCATCCTCGCCGCCTTTTCATTCGAGGACCCTGCGAAATATCTGCAAGGTTCCAGGGAGAATGCTCTGTAACCTCTTAACCCCTCCTTCGTCTGCCGCGATCCCTACGGCGCTCCATAACGGCAATCGACCCAGTGTTATTGCCAGGCTGGCAGTGTCCTAAATTACTAGAACTTACCCCCAAACCCTATATATTACAAATTGCTTCCAAGGTTCGAGTTGATCCAAACAATGTAGAGGACTGGGTATAGCTGAGTAGAGAATACCAAGTGATATGATATTCAAGGTTTCGTCATGCCTCTAACACTAGCTATCTAGTTCAAGTTATTTTTTTGCCCTCCTTCTCCTCTAGTCTTACGTAGGTCCCGAGGAGGTGTAAAACTCAGCCGGTGCAGATCATGCGAAACATGCTGTGACGGACTTTGGTCATGCGATGTTAGTCTTGCTGAATTCCCAACTCATTTGACTTTCGAGAGGTCTTAAGATGATCGACCCTGCACACCGTCTGCGGTCTACGTTGGATGGTCCCCCTCGGGCGACTACACCCGATGCCACTCCTCCCCGCGCTGGAGATCTTCCCGAGGGCTTAAGAGGGTGGGAAACCGATCGCGGCATTCAACGGTTCGTTTTTGGCATGCTGGATTTGCAATGCGACAAGGGTGTGCTGGATCGCATGGGCACAACCAATGTCGCAGGTGTGCGACAGCCCTGTTGCTCGGCTGCAGAACAGAAAGAGGCGCACACTAAGAACCAAACCCAGTTGTAACTACTTATAGGGGCTTGCGAATTGCGTTTTTTATCTCTCCTTGTATTCCGTGGTCTTATGTACTTTATGGCTTCCATGTCTGATGATGCGGATGGCTTGCTCTTCCATTCCGAGGGGAGGCGACAAGGTACCTGGCTATAACCATTTGCGGAGTCCGCGATGCCCGCCAACCCAGGATGATTCATAGTCGAGCAACTTTCCAAATTGCTCTTGCAATCCCAGTTCGAATTCTACCTCGAAGTTCTTCTGGGTTTGTTTGATAAAACGCTCGGCGCAATGAGTATCCGGGTTGCGACAGCAGTGCGCAATGCGAAATAGCCGGACCCGGAGACTACAGCTACATCCATGGCAATCGCTAAAGGATTGAGGAAATTTTTAAAGAAGAAAAGTAGATCCGAGTAAATTTAATAGATCAATGTTCATTTTAGAACCATTCCGCGATCTAGTGGAACGGAGGGGCATGCTGCGACGGGCGCCGGAAGCGCAAATCGCCATGTCACCGACCCAGACAGGCCGTTTTCTCGCTTTAGGTGAAACCATCGTACGCACCCACCTCAACTCTACACCAACTTCTCCCATCCCCTCCGCCTTGTGTCGCCCTCACTTTCTTGTGCTTTGGTATCGTCTTCTCTCCTCTCCTCTTTTCTCCTCCTCTCTACTCTGGTCAACTTTGCTTCTGCAGAGCTTGCCCACCTAGGTCCCATCGCTGACCTAGCCGCAGCGCTTCGTAGAGCAAAGAGAACCGACGACAATCCCCTCGCCCACCGCCAACATCGCCCATCGATTATCGTATCGCTCGGTCTTCGATCACTCGGATATCTGCGACTGTGAAGGATACTATTTGGTTTGTCTTAGGTGCGTCAACGCTGGTCCCCATCCTGTTCCGGGTCTACTCTCGTCGTTTCCCCCCGTCGCCTGCTCCCAAGGTTGGTCGGACTCGGCTAGCAAACAGATCTATGTCCATCCTGAAGTCGTCAAATCCATCCTCTTTATAATTGAAAACGTTTGAGCTAGCATTGTGCTGACTCTGGTGGTGGGTTCTCGTCTAGGTTTACCGACTCCTCCTCTTCCGGCTCGTTCTCGGTTCTTGCGACAACAGATTCCCCTCCATCCCCATCAAAAAGCCCTGCGCCAACCCTTTCGCCCATCAACAACCCGGGGGTGGTCCATCCACCTGCCAATCTTTTCGATTCCTATATTAGTGGTAGGTTCGATGGAATTCCCCTCTTGCACAAGCCTTTCCCATGTCCTCCTAGTCATGGATCCCATCCTCCCGTCTAGCCGCCCTCTATCACACAGAAGCAGTGGGTTGATGCAGTCATCGCAATAGCAACAGGAGATTCGTAATCGTTCTGGACCTGCCCATCATGCAAGCGGTCCACCATGATGCGCTCTCTGCCTTCGCAGAGCAACCGGTTCTTGTGGATGGCTCATCCCGGGACCTGTCGCTTAAGGGCCCCGTCCCCAAGAACGTCGCCTTCGAGTTGCTTTTGGATGAGAACTCCAAGGTTCGAGCCCGTATCCCGATGCGCGTTCAAATATACCCTCATGATACGACGGATTCCATCGTGACCACTGTCAAAAATTTCTATGGCATCTACGATGGCACCGCCAGTGGGGTGAGCTTCGAGGATGAACATGGAATCACCCTCATCGCAAGGTATGAAAACCTCAAGAGTAACGGGACGGTATATGTTCGAGTCATTCCGATTCAACCCTATGGTGAATTTTACAGCGGTTATTCCGTTGAGCGCAAGCGACCCAGTCTGGGTGAGCCTTTTCAGATGGCCGATGGCGCTGCACCAATCCTTGAACAGCCACCGCGACCATCATCGCGGCTGGCAAGGAATCGCAGTGCCTCCCCATCTAACCGGAGCCTTCGCAGTGCCTCGCAGCACAAGTCGGTTTCTCGCAACGGCATCAAAAGTCGGGGGTCGAGCCATGCTGGCTTCCCGGATGATGATGGCCTCAGCGACAGCGAAGGAAGCTTCTCCCGCAGGTCTCGCGGCGACGCCTTCGCTAGCTCTGAAATAAGTATGGAGAATATACTACAAGATGGTCGTCGCAAACGTCCTAAGTTTGATAGCTCGGTAAGTGTGATCAATCTTGTGCGCTTCAGGTTTTTTTCTTCGCTTGTTTGACTAACAAGTTTCTTCATCTTAGGAACTCCCACTCTTCGTTCCTCCTCAAGTTCCTCTCACCACCTCTACCTCCTCTATATCTCCTCAACGTCGTTCCATCGGCCAAGAAGGTGCCGGCTCACCTTTTGCTCGCCCTACCCACCGCCCATACAACTACCAACAAGCGCTGCCATCGCCACAAAGCTATGGCCACAGTGAATATGGTGTACAATCAGCACGTAATGGTGTATATGCGACGCCTATGGTCCCAGACCATGCGCATCGTGTACCATATAGCAACTCTGCTCCGCGAGTAAGTGGTCCTGGCATTCTGCCTACGCCGGACCCCACTATCGCCAGCTGTATTTCCGATGAGGACGTCGCTATGCAGCTAATCCGTCTCGGCGACGCCTCCAACTTCTCTCATGGCCGCACCTCAGCGTCAACATTAGACGATGCTTTCAGTGGTGCTGCCGACGCAGCCTCTTCCACTGGCGCAACCAGTGATGGCGAGGACTTTAGCGAGGACGAAGATGACCTGCCTGCCCGTCGCAGACTTGAGTCAAGTCCCATGCTTCCGCCGGGTACCATCAAACGTCATCACAAGCGCCTGGATGACATCCTTCCCAGCGCTGACAGCAGTGATCACAGTTCTGACGGTGCTGATGAGGGCATCAAGAGCGAAGCCGAGGATGACATCTTGTATAAGGAGTTTGCGCCCAAGGCCAAGAAACCTAAAAGTCGCCCAATGTCTATCAAGCCTCGCAGCAAGCCTGCGCCAAAGCCCATCAAGACCAAGAATGCGGCGCCTGTCGCTCGCAAACCCTCCGATAAACCAGCCGGGCCTGTTGCCCCTCTCAGCCCCAACTCTGCCCGCAAGGTCTCCGGCGGCTCCGTCAACTTCCAGCACCAGCTCGGAGCAGATGAAGAGGATCTTTCCACCAAGCCTCGCTGCCAACGCTGCCGTAAGAGCAAAAAGGGATGTGATCGTCAACGTCCGTGTGGACGTTGCAAGGATGCCGGAATCGGCATCGAAGGCTGTATCAGCGAGGACGAGGGCAATGGTCGCAAAGGCCGATATGGACGCCACATGGGTGTTCCGGTCAAGAAAAACGGCGATGGCGATGATGACGACGATGATATTTCAGACGATGGTCACATCCATGAGCATGAGCGTGAAATCCCGCCGATGCCAGACACACCACTGGTAGGCGTGGACAACAAGAAGCGAAAGCGCTAGTTGTGCATATTGGTCGTTCTCCCTCTGCCCGCCAGGCTCTCTTACTGAGAGGAGATGACCCAAACAGTCATCCCGCAATTAAATACTCTCCCTCTTTCAACCTCAAATCTCACTCGGCGTGCCATGACATCAGTGTTGGTACCACCTCACTCACCAACACACCATCTCTCCCTCTCGATCCCTCCTTTGATATTACTCTGACCGCCGAGTATTCGACACTCCTTATACCTCCTACCCTTCACGCTCTCTTCCCGGGCTTCACGCCACTGCACCCGAATTTCGATTATACAAAGTCTAGCGGGTTGATCTGTTGTCTGTGTCCATTCGGCGTTCTTCGTATTTGCGGATATTTGTCCTTTCTTCTGTCACATCCATTTTCACTCTTTCAAACTCAATGCTACAAACCCACTGAGCATCTTTGCTAATTTCATGTCAAATTTTTTGTTTTGTGGTGGGTGGGATTTTATACTGTCCGAACACTGGGAGATATATACTTCCGGAATGAGCCAGTTACCCTGGGGGATTCTCAAGTCGCACGATGTTGTATAAGATGCCATGGGCTTTTGTTTTTTTATGAGTAGCTTGGGAATGAATTGTGTTTTTCTATTACTACTTCTGTTGTCTATTTTTTTTGTAATTCAGACTTACTATAGGTACTAGTAGTACCCTTCAACATTTTTCATGCTCTCGCCCAGCCGGTCGTATGTAGGTCACGTGACTCATATCAGCGGTGAACGGATGGGCAAATCAAGTGATCAGCACATGCCTGCATCTCATTGGCTGGATATTTCAAGTTCATGCCCAGGTGTACAATGCTCTGACCTCGCCTAGTTACATGTAATGCCGAGGGTTTTATTTCTAAACAGGTGGAAAATAGGCAAGATACCACTCTATTGATCTGCCTGGACAATGTCGATGGAACTGACAGCCTGATGTGGAAAGATAAATTGAAGTAGTAGTATTTGGGTCACGATATCTACTCCAGAAACCCACTGGCAGTGTGCAACTTTAACCTCACTGGCCCCATTCAAGATTCTCGGTGAAACTCTAGGGCTGTTGGTACTAGTATTATGTATGCAACCGGACACGAAGATTTGAACAAAGAAGTATGACTACCTACGTACCAGGTAGGATTGTTGAAACCCCTACTTCCAGTGGGTAGTTTATGTCACCGCCAATAGGTGTGTGACAGAACGCTGTAAAGTACGAGAAACAAAATTCAAGTCCCCCCCGACCGAAGTCTTGGATTCTGGTATGCGTTCTCTAGAAGTACTAGTAAAATTTCACCAAATTTGATCATCTTGAAAAGTAGTTTCTGACTCGGACATGTGCAAGCGTACTTTTGCCATTTCGCGTGCCTGGTTAGCTTGACTCCGAGTCCGATAATTGCAAATTATCAGCGAGCGTATCTACCAGGCTACACCCGTGAGATGATCCTATTATATACCCAAAAAACCTATTAATAGCAAAAATCTAACAACCATCATTTCCATTATTCTCACTCCATTTTGCCAGCGATTACTCTTCATTCCTGGCCGATACTGTCTATCAGCCATGCTATATATGACCACGTGACCCAGGCGGTGTAAAGGCCCCGCAACATTTTTGAGTCGGATGAAGAGCTCGACTTTTTGCTAGAATTCACTTCACACTCGATACCCAATCACTCTACGCTCTCCGAGACTCTGCCGAACGATTCAATTCAAGTCTCCAAACCGACCATCCCAACCCGCTAGCCTATGCGCTAGACATTTTCGCCCACACACCCTTGCCCTAAGTAGCGGGGCGCCAACGGCGTCTTGCTTGCACCAAGACAGCAATTATGCCTCCCAAACCGGCCACTCGACGACCTGCCGCCAGACGAACAGATCGGGCTGAAGGCAGTGCCCCAGCTCCCGCCGACGCACCTTCTACTCAAAATGGACCCGCGGAGGGTCGCGCGACGCCCGCGCAGAGCGCAACCTCTACCACCCGACAACCCGTGCAGCGATTACAATCCTTGAAGAAGCGCGAGTCTTCCGGAAGCATTCCAGCGACTGGCCGGTCGATCTCGAATCTGCCCGGCGAGCCGGCGAAACCTGTCCTCAAGTACCAGCCGAAGAAAGGCGTGCAGCGGCGCAGCAAGGAAGATCGAGATGCCATGGCGAAGCTGGAGCAGGAGCGGCATAATGAGCGGTTGAAGGAGGCGGCTGCTATTCAGCGCGGCCGGGGAGGTGGTCGGGGGCGCGGGGCTTTTCGTGGTCGGGGCGGGCCTCAAGGCGGATTTGGGCCTCAGGGTGGCGCGAGGAGAGGGCGTGGTGGGAGTACGTTTGGACCGCGCTCTTACGACCGGTCTCAGACTCGCTCTGTCTTCAGCGCGGGGGCTGGTGCTGGTTCTGGTGTTGGTGCTGGTGGCAGACCCGCTGCAGATGATTACTACTACGACTCGGATGATGATGGTGAGAGCGGGATCCGCATTGCGGTTGATCAGATCGGTCTTTCGGATGACTCGGACTCGGACTTGCCCAAGGATGTCAAGGGCAAGTTGCCTGCGCGTAGCAGGGACCCGGAACTCCGGGGCCTGAAGCCCGTTCGTGTGCAGCGACTTGAGCACGAGGAGCGGACTATTTCCGTGAATATGGAGTCTAGTACGGCGCGGACGGACGAGCTGCGCAAGAAGGCCGAGAAAGAGGCCAAGATTGCGCAAGGTGTGTCGGTTACCCCGGAACAAGAGGAGGAACCTCGTGTCAAGGCCGAGCCCGTCGATGAGGATACCCCAATGGCAGATGTGGTGCCGGTAGAGGATGATGGATTCCTCCCCCAACAAAAGGTGCGCGTGCGGAGGAAGGTCTCGGATCCCCAATCCTCCCCCGTGAAACCAAAAGCTAAGGCTCCAGAGCCCCAAAAGGTCAAAGAGGTCAAACGTGACCCGCGAGAACTCCTCCGCACCAGGGAGGAGATTGATGAATACGACCGTCACCTGGATGATTTGGCCCATGTGCGCGAACTCTTCCGCGAGGACGAGCCAGACAAGAGCCCAGAATCACAGTCGACTGAAACACCAACTCTTGAACCCACCACCGAGAAGACCCCTGCTACCGAGGAGGACACTGATACTGCTACGGAGGGACAAGATGAGACCGAAAAGCAAGAAGCGGAAGAAGAGGATAAAACCCCGAAGAACCTCGTGGGCCAGCTCTTCCTCATGCAATTCCCACCCATGACGCCCAACCTCATAGTTTCCGGTTCTGAAGACCCCCCCGGCTGTAGAGCCGGCTGCAGAGCCAGCCACAGAGCCAGCCCCGGGTGCAAACGACACACAAAATGAGGTCAAGCCTGAAGGCGACGTTGAGATTACGGACGTCGATGCTCTTCCTCAGACCGAGACACCTAAAATTATCACAGCCGTTACGGATTGGTCCCTGCCAGCCGGCAAGGTGGGCAAATTAAACGTTCACAAATCCGGTCGCATTACTATGGATTGGGGCGGCGTTAGCTTCGAGCTTGATCGGGCAGCAATGGTGGACTTTGTACAGGAGGCATTGATTGTTCACTCATCAAATGATGATCCCGATGTGAAGAAGGAGGCAGGGCAAGAAGAGGAGGAGGAGAACCGGGCCTGGTCCATGGGCCAGCTCTGTGGCAAGTTTACTGTGATGCCGAACTGGGACGATATGCTTTGATGATCTCTTTTAGCTTGATAGTGTCTAAGATACATGAATAAAAGAAACGATAGATTATGGATATTCGAGGACTGCCTTGCACTCTAGACCTTTCAATCAGCGAAGACCACTTTGTGGTTCGCAATTAATGAGAGATTTGATATCTGGGTAACCAAAGTTTTACTGTTTCAATGACTAAGATGTGTCTAGTGCGGAGTACCCGGGAGTACTCCGTACAAAGTCGATGTTCCGTACTCAGAGCAGAACAGAACGAAAAACAAGAAAGGAAAAACAATACCTGGGTATACATACTCCGCACAAAGAGCACTCAGCTCTCACGCGGGATGCTGAATCTAACCAAATATGCGACGCCGCGTGATGATGGCGAAGCACCGCTAGAATGCAAGCTGCACCTGGAGGCGTGTTTCTATCTATAGCGTCCTATAGTAGGGGCGAGCCAAGAAATCCAGCCCCCGGTCGGAGTCAGAGCTTGATTGAGGGCCCATGCAGCGGCAGCTTGCTCGACGGAGCAGCAAGCTTGCGACCAGCAGTTCACAGCTGGGGAGCGGCGACGGTCAGGGGGCCCCTGAGAGGTCGAGAGCCCGGCCGTTCGCACGTCCTTGCATTGCGGCTTGCCGTCGGGATGTCTGGACTTTCTGATCCACTGTTGATTGGGTCTGTTATGGCGATCGACAGGTGGGTCGATAATTAGAGCAGGGGAGAGTAAAGGAGAAGAGAGGAGAGAAGAACAGAACAGTGCACGGTGGCTTCACTCCAAGGTGGGTAGATCTGAATCAGGCTGGAAGGTGGGATTATGTTTGGCGAGATGCGTCATAAGTGATGAAGGGAGCAGGTATCTGTATCCTGTACTCCGTACAAAATAGAACAGAGTAAGTACTCCGTAGTAGTGCGGCCCATAGTCGATAAACAGGCTGGTCTCTAACCAAGTGGAGCGGAGTTGGTGACAGGGAGAAGTGCCAAGAGGTCATCACACCATCTGCACGGAGACGGAGTACTGTCTGTCCTGTACAAAACGGGGAGACTGACCAATGAGAAGCCGGAGAATAAAGTGTGCCTTCCCCGTCCTTTTGGAGATAGGCTCGAGGGGCGATTCCATGGTTGAGGCCCGCGCTACTCCCTTCGTGGCATATTAATTTCGCTTTTTTCCCTCCCTGTTTTTTGGCTATTTTTTCTATCTTGTTTGTGCTCTTGCTTTTCTGCTTCCTGATTTACGGAGGACTTCACTCCTCACGACATTCGCTTGGCCTCGCTTCTTAGCTGACTGCGTTGCTGTCGTCCGTTGCGGTTCTGCCCCCCCCGTGTATTTCGACTTTTGGCCCCCTATCCCCCCCCCCCCCCCAATACCAACCTCCTCCACCACCACATCCACCTCCACCAAACCGACCTCCCTCCCCTTCAATCGAGCCTGGTCATATAAACCACTCCTCTCCCAACACGACCGCTACTTCTCCTCCGGCGCGTGTATCTTGTACATCACCTGCATCAACTCCCACTCCGCACGGTTGCCTCGCCAACTCGCGATTCGCAAGATCTTCACGGCCGTCCTGCTTGGCGTTGCTTGTTTCGCAACTTCCCCTCCAAGGCCCTCGCCCGGCCAACGCGAGTCTCCTTGAAATACGCACTGTCCCGCAAATATAATCATCCACACCATGAGGCCCGCCTATCTTCTCGTGGCCCTCGCCCCGGCCGTCCTCGCCGAGTCGCACCCGCAACCACGCGCCAAAAATCTTGTCGCAGACCTCGCGCGCCGATCCGCCGTCGCATCAATACCGGAATTTGCTCCACGCGAACAGCTCGTGCCTCTCGCTGATCCTTTGGATACGACTCTCACCCGTCGCAGCGCGAGGCATGTGCTGCAGGCGCGTAGTGAGGGCTCCCTCGGTCAAACTCCGTGGATTGGATGTGCCATCGGATTGACCTGCACCGCTCTTGCGGCCGTCATGCTGGGCTAGTCCTCCGCGCTGTGCTGTCGATGAAAGGCTACTTCTACCTTTAATTCGGCCTCGATGATTTCTCGATTTTCTACTTTCCATTTCCTTTCCTCCCAATCTCTTCCATTCTGAACATTACCGACATGATACGTGAATACGCGCACCCCGACCTTACCTCGATTTAATTCGGCCGATCTCCAGTCGACCTCCTTCTTCTCTTCACCTTATCCATCTTCCTTTCACGCTACACTTCAACCATTTGAGTCTTCTTCAGCGACTTTTGAGCTATTCTGCATCCATGACCCTGTCGCAGCGGGCGTGGGCATTCCTCTTTTTTTCTTTTTTTTCTGAGCACATTGCATTCCCGCTTGGCGGAGTATAGAGCTGCATGTTGTACATGATACCTGGTGCCTTTTTTGTGTATACTGGACGGGATTTACTACCTGTGTACAAATGAATTTATCACATTCACACATACTATAACTTGTTTTTTTCGCTTTAGCACCACGTAGGTAATAGTCTCATATCGAACTGACCGGGAATAAATGTGGCGTATATTGGTCTACAATTCAATGCATTATTTCTTGAACTATTGACGCCTCTTAAGCCACCCACCTGCCAGCGTGCACCAACCTCGTTCTTTGTCAAAACGAACGGCTGCGGCTGGCGCACCTCGTTGTTTATTCCAACCCCTTCATAGTCCGTACTAATTATTACCTTTCAACTATCAATGGATCGAGTATGTCGCATGGAAGTCGAATCAAATTATCTGTTAGCTCAGTCACTATAAGATACAGCAAAGCAACGCACCTGCACTGTTCCTCTCAGGCCAAATCAGCACACCGCCAACGCCCATTAGCCCAGGCCAAGTCCAAACGGGCGCAAAGTACCTAGGTACCTAACCCGCCCCCAACCCTTAGCCTTTACGCCCGGGGCTCCCCACTTCTCCACAGTCAGACGGAATCTGACTGTGACGTCTTTGCTTTGCGAGAGTGAATCGCAAACCTGACACTTCTCACATATCCTGCAGCAAGAGAAATCAAAGTCGGGTGCACCAGAAAGTCCAAGTTCAAGCTCACAAGTCCAAGTTCTCTTTTGTTCCCGGCCATGGCGATCGAATACCCGCCTTCAACGCCAATGTCCTCGCTGGGCCGCGAGCTGGGCATCATGTTTGCGTTTATCGGGGCTGGTTTAGTGACGATGGCCATTTACACATTTGCTTGGAGGGGTATGTGTTATTCCGAGTTCTTTTCGTTTTTTTCCCCTAAGAACCTTGAGCATCGCGTTTCCTAGACCCATCCCATCTGGTTATACTAAAGTTCATACAACCACCCACCTATGTTTACTTCTACACAACACAACACAACACAACACAAACTTCAATCCCTGACAACCCCCACCCTCAACCAAGCAAACACTAACCGAGACATGAAATCAAGTCGTCCAACGTAAAAACCTCGCTCAGGATCTCGACCGTCGCAAGGCTTTTCACAGTCGTACTGCGCCGGCGGCGGATACCCGACTTCTTGGGAGTCCGACGGTAGGCTCCCGTGGGCGAAGCGAGCGGATTGCGGAGAAGATGTTGGATCGGTATGCTATTCCTACGGACCGGGCTGAATTGCCTGTTCATGGGATGGAGATGGGACAGAGGGGTTCTAGTCAGGGTCAAGGTCAGGGCCAGGGCTGGATGAATGGGAATGGGAATGGGAATGGGAATGGTCACAGTGAGGGGTTTGATTTTGGATTTGGGCCTGGGTCCGCATCTGGGTCAGGTACAGGTACTGGCACAGGTACCTCTGGCACGGGGGTTATGGGGAGAGATCTTCTATGATTGATGAAAAGGATGGCCCTGGTCCTGGTATTCCGGGGCTAAAGGCACTGGTAGGACGGGGAATGCTGGCTTAGCTGCCTTGTAAATGGAAATGAACATACTATACTTAGGTATACCGGATAATGCCTGGCAACTCTTGGTCATTTCCGACGACTTAATGTCGACAAGTTGTTTTTTTTGTCATTTTTGAATTCGTAAAATAAAAGTATTAAATATACACAAAGCAGTATCTTATTAAAATCGAGTAATGTATTCTATCTCCCATCAAGACGGAAGAAGAACTAGATAACAAGACCCATAACAAGAAGAGCTACACTGCCCAAAAGGCCAGTGGAGAAGGTGAACGAAGCCATAGCGGCGCCGGTGTAGACAGGAGAGGCAGGGCTAGTAGCTGAAGAAGACGAAGAGCTGGAAGCACCGGAGCTCTTGTGAGGGACAGAAGAGCCCCAAGTGGCAAAGCTAGAGGGAGTGGGCTTAACGTTTGCACTGCTGTGGACTGGCGACGCGCCAATAGCACCAACACCAGCGCCAATGGTAGCGGTGCTGGAGGGCTGGACGATAGTAACAGTCACGACCTCGGTAGAGATAGCAATGGTGGCGGTGGTTGAGATGCCGGTGCTTGTGGAGTAAATGGTGTTGGTGATGACTTCGATCTTAGATGATCCGGATCCAGAGCCGGTAGAGCCAGAGCCGGTAGAGCCAGAGCCGGTAGAGCCAGAGCCGGTAGAGCCAGAGCCGGTAGAGCCAGAGCTGGTAGAGCCAGAGTCGGTAGAGCCAGAGCCAGTAGAGCCAGAGCCAGTAGAGCCAGAGCCAGTAGAGCCAGAGCCAGTAGACGACGAAACAGTGGCGCTAGCAGTCTCAGTTGCCTCAGCCGTGACGGGGCAAATAGTAGTATAATCAACCAGAGTTTCAGTTGTGACATAAGTTGACTTTTCAGAAGCAGGGCAGTCCTTCACGGACGAAGGGCAGGCAGTGATAGTCGAGGTGCGAGTAGTGAAGACAGTCGAGGTAGTCAACTTCTCGGTAATCCCGTTGCCATTGTTTCCGCCCTGGCCAGGCTGAGAGCCGGAGCCAGACGAGGTACCGGTGGGCTGAGCACCTTCAGTGATAGGACAGACAGTTGTGCCCACCACGACAGTCTCGGTAGTGAGATAGGTAGTGCGCGAGTGGACTGGGCAGTCGGTAATGGTTTCAGGGCAGGCAGTGATCGTGCTTGTCCGGGTCTCCACGATTGTAGATGTGGTGAGACGGGGAGGGGATCCACCAGAGCCAGAACCAGAGCCAGAGCCGCCTTGGTGGCCAGAACCAGAGCCGTTGTTGTTTCCAGAGCCGTTGTTGTTTCCAGAGCCGTTGTTGTTTCCAGAGCCGTTGTTGTTTCCAGAGCCGTTGTTGTGACCAGACCCAGAGCCACCTTCATGACCAGAGCCAGGGCCGCCTCCGTGACCAGGGTGGATACTAGAGCTCGAAGGAACCGACGACGGAGAAACAGTAACTGAGGGACGGGGAGTCCACCAAGGCTTAGCAGTAGACGAAATAGGACGACGACTCGAGGGAACGGTCGAGATAGGAGTAAAGGTCGTGGGGCGTCCAGAAGGCGAGTGAGCAGCACTGCTAGAAGGCACAGGCTTGGCGGAAGAAGGCACCGGCTTCGAGGATGGAATCAATGGCGTCGAGCTGGGACTAACCTGGACGGAGCGCGCGGGCGAGGAGCTAGCAATGGGAGAAGCACTGACAACAGGAGTAGAGCTGGAGATCACAGCCGCGGAAGACTTGATCGAGGAGCTGGCAATGGCGCTGGGGGTTGCAGTCGGGGTCGCAGTGCTGGTGGTGCAGACTTCGCTTGTAGTGTAGATTTTGATGTTGTCCAGATCGATGTTCTCACTACTTGCAGAACAGGCCCAGACGAGAAGGAACTTGGCGCTCGACACGGTGGGTGTCCAAGCGAAGGTGTAGGTTGCCCACTCGGGGTTGACGGTGGACCTCATGGTCTGTCTGTCAATGAAGTAGCTCCAGGAATTCAGCATGAAGCCTAGGTAGCAAGTATCGTACTGGGATGGAGGGCTACCGCTTCCTGTCCAGGGAAACTTGTAGTCCACAGAGACGGTGTACGTCTGACCCGGGACCAGAGTTGAGATTTGCTGCTCTATGTAGGCGTATTGGGACTTGGCCAGACCAGTCCTGGCGAATCGGTTAGTGAATCATTGACGGAGAGGTGTTTTGCGATCCATCAGATTTACTTACAAATAATAATCTCCATCGGAAGCGTCGCCGCATTCAACTTCACCGTCCCAAGTAGGTCCAGTAGCGGCGTACAGGCCCGTCCAACTGCTCATGTCACCCGACTCAAACGACGGGTTCGAGAGGACATTGTTTTCCACTGTCGAGCAGGTCACACTGGCCTGTCCTCGGCTAATGAGAGAGGCAGAGAGCAACAGGCCGCTAAAGAGGCGGTTCAAGTTGCTGGGTGCCATTGTTCGGTCAATTGTGCGTGAAATTAATTAGTGATAGTCGTAAAATGAAGGATCGTGAGAGTATCAAATGACGATATTCGAGGTTCAAAAGAGTGACGAGAGAGATCAGAAACAGAGAAAACAACGTAAAGAGTGATGATGCTTTCAAATTCGACCCTGATCAGCCTCAAGGGTGTCGGAAGGGTCCAATCTATATACTACATACGTGCCACTCCGTACAAAGAAACCAGCGAGATCTGACTCGGAGACAGCGATGACTAGACCCAAGATGGTCAGCAGTCTCCATCAAATTCGATAGTTCGCTCGGATAAAAAGCCTCCTACCGATCCTGGCAAAACAGGTTCAGGGACATGCGAGATATCATTGACTGGGAACTTGCCCGGAGGCGGGCCCTAAGAAGCGCCAGGACCCACTCGTTCGGACAAAAAGACGCTGATTCTGTGAGGTGGATCCCTTTTCTACGAGTGTGTTGAACCGGAGTCACACGAAGCGACGAGCCATACACAGACCCTAGGTGTCGCTTGAATAATCTTGTATTCACTGTGCCTGGACGAAGACATTCGGTAAATGGATCTCTGTACACCGGGATTCAGGGTCGCGTACCAATCTGCGCTCTCGTCAATTCATGGTACTCCAGGGCCAAAGGCACTGGCAGGACGGGGGAATGATGGCTCAGCCACCTTGTAATCATACAAGGCCAATGGACGTCCCACCAGATCATCCACAAACCGCCTCATCAAACCCCCGCGTCCAAAGCAACGAGCCCATAATAACAATCAAAAACCCAAGCGCAACAACCACACTCGTAACACCATACACATACGCATACCGCCTCTTCGACAGCCCATTCAACTCCGCAACCCACGTGCTAATCGTCGTAGCACTCCCGCAAAACCCATCCATAACACCCTGCAAAACCTGGCACCCGGTCAAAGCAGCCGGAACCCCAGCCCCAAGCCCACTGACATGCTGGAGATCAAAGCAAAGGCCCTCAACGACCGTACCAAAGATGTTAGTCGTAAACGTGCCCAGCGGGAAAGCAGGGATCCGAGCATTCAAATGCAGCGACAGGTAGAATCGCAATAGACAGCCCACCGGCGCAAAGACACATGCAAACACCGCGCGACCTCGCCACGTCTCGCCATCACCGCTGCCCCGGTCTGGCGGCCAGATGGCCAGAAAGACGGCTCCGAGCCAACAGCCCCAGCCTAGGAGGACGATGACGCGATCTAGGACGCGCCGCGTTAGCGCGAAGGGGACTGTTGGTGTGAATTTTGCCAGCGCGAGGGCGAGGTGTGCGCCGAAGATCAGGGCTGATAGACTCAGCGAGACGGTTAGGAGTATCACCGCGACCAGCGCCATGAAACTGTACCCGCCGTTACGGGATGCGATGGGGTCGCCGGCGTCCGAGAGGGAGGGATTTGGGAGGGCATTTGCCAGGGCAAGAAAAACGTCGCGGATAAACGAGGAGAAGGAAGTAAAGCAGCCGCAGAAACCTGTTGTGAGGCCGATGTAGAGCGGAATGGTTTTCTTGACGGCTTTGTGGTTTTTGCTCTGCTCGGCGGCTTCGGTGCTGTCTTTTGGCGGGGCGGAGGGTTTGCGACCCCATTCTTCGCGGAAGAGATTGCGGTCTTCGGATAGGAAGCCCATTATTAGACTGCCGCCTACATTTGCCCAGAGGACGCCTGTGACGACGGGCGCGCTGGTGTAGAATGTTAGGGCTTGGAGGCCTAGGCGGGCGAGGGTGCCGAATATGGAGAAGAAGATGAGGTAGGACAACGTGTAGAGGTGTGTTGCGTGTGGAGAGAGGAGGGTTGGAGCTGGAGAGGGTGTACGCGCAGCTTCGTCTTTAGTTGCCGTCGTTGCCTCGGCTGTCGCACCAGCGTGCCATTGTTGACGTTGGGAGGAGATGGGTTCAACGGGTTCCGGACAGGTTGTTTCTGTTAGAGGGGGGTCGGTGCTGTCTTGACGATCTAGATTCAGCTCGAGCCGAGCTGACTGGTCGGTGGGACCGGACTTGGAGGGCATGGCGTCTGCCAAGGGGATGATGAATTGGAAGTTGAGGTTGAAGATATTGAGGTTGAGGTCGGCCGGAAAAAAGTGGGTTCGCGGTGGAGCTGATAAGCTGGGATCGCCGATAGCATTCCTCCACTGTCACGTCGAGCCTGGAGCTCTATATAGGACCCCGTTGGACTGAGATGGGCTGGACTGAGAGGATCCCATTTTGTGAAGGAAATGAACGGCGGATCTGGAGATGGCTGGATTCATGGTTGAGGATAGTACTAGAAATCCCATATCCCCAATGATGGCAAAGATACCTTAAGGTATTGCTCATGGATAGCATTCAAGACAAGGGGACCTGACTCGGGGACAAACAGGATAAGATAGCAGATAATAAACAGATCCAAAGGAACAGGGGCCCTTTAAAACCATCCTAGGATAGAGAGCAAGCCATACCGCAAGGTAGTATCCTGCAGGAGGGGAAGGCCGTCACACCGCAGATAAGAGAGCAACCCCTCCTTAGCCACCTCTTTAAAGGTTATACTTCCCCTCAATCCCCAATCCCCCATCCTCAATTCCATTCCTCTCTTCTCCTCTTTTCAATCCATTCACCATGTCACTACCCTCCAATGTTCATATCTCCTCGCACCCTTGCCTCCAGGCGAAGCTATCACAGCTACGCTCGCAGAGCACCTCTCCCCGCGAGACGAGGGATCTAGTCAAAGAGATTGCCTCCATTCTCGGCGTCGAGGCCTTTGCAAACGGACTAAAGCTCACTAAGACTGGAACGGTAAGGCCACGAACATGAACATGACCAAGACCAAGACCAAGCAAAGCACCTGGATGCTGATACTGCTACAACAGGACCGCACACCGCTAGGGGTCGAGTACGAGACTCAGGGCATCGACCCAGCCGACCTAGCACTGGTACCCATTCTCCGTTCAGGATTAGGCATGGTCGATTGTCAGTTTACCTCTACCTCTACCTCTACCGAGCTTCCACCCCATCCCATCTCTCCTTCCCTCCGCCGTGTGAAAAAGCTTACACTGTACCTCTACCTCACAGCATTAAACGACCTCCTCCCCGCCGCAGTCCCAATCTACCACCTCGGCCTCTTCCGCGAGAAGCTCACCCTTCAACCCGTAGAATACTACAATAACCTCCCGTTCCACCGATCAGAGCTCTCCCCGGCATCGCCCGCTTCTCTCGATCCCACGACCAATACGGCCGCTTCCACCCTTGCTGTCCTGTTAGATCCTATCATTGCAACGGGTGCGACTGCAGAAGCGGCTATTCAGTTGCTGCGGGAGTGGGGCGTTAAGAAGGTCATTATGTTGAGTGTGCTTGGCTCGGAGGATGGGGTGAAACGGGCGGCGGAGGTGTGGAAGGATGGTGTTGAGGTTTGGGTTGGTGCTGTTGACGAGAAGTGTAATGAGAAGGGAATGATTGTGCCTGGTGTGGGGGATATTGGAGACCGACTGTTTGTGGCAATTGGGAAATAGAGGGTTGTTAGTATTAAAGGTATACTGAACTCGTTGAGTGGAGTATCCATGGATAATTACTAGTAGCACGCTCAATCCAGCAATAGCCATGCCATAAGATAAAATACTTTCTTTGCGAGACAGATCTTACTTACTAACCTTGAAGGCCAAGGGCTACAAGGTGAAGGCACAGGTCAAGGTTTCCCCGCCAAATGTGTATTCATCGATTACGTATATAGTACATTGAAATAGGCATCAAAACATGTGCAGGTGAAATCAAGCGCGAACAAATGCTGAGCGGAGACATAGAAAAAAAAAAAAACAAGCATAGCGAGGCGGGGAGAAAGCAGACAACACGTGCAATTAAACATCAAATACAGCGACCGAGGCAGCCTCGGCCACAAGAATCAGAATCAGAATCAAATCGGGCAGTATCAACGCGGAAACAAATGAGAAAAAGCAGAAAGAAAAAAAAAATCAAGAGCGGAAAATGTCAAAAGGTATCAAGAGATCAAAGCAAATGGACGAGGGGGCACAAATTAGGGGCTAAAAGTGAAACGAGAAAACTCCATCGAGTGCGAGAGGAACACACAGGACCAGCCAGGTGTCGAACGAGAAACACAAAAAGCAAAGCACCGCACCGGACTCCCTGATGTAAAAGGTCAGGGTAAAAAAAGATAAGATGCAACCCAAAATAGCAGAAAAGTCAGGAATCGCCCAGAGGCTCCTCGACGGAACCGAAAACACCCCGCCTTACCCCTTGGCGTGTCCATTCCTGATTTCCCAATGTGTCCCGATGAAAGCGTCCGAAAATGAGAGTAAGAAAGCCCGAAAAAAACAGGATGAATGCGTTAAAAACAAAAGAAATGTCGATCAAAAATTCTGGCGCGAGGTTTAGTACGCGGTACCAACGCTGGCGAGCGACTTAGTAGACACTGCGTGGATCGGTTGGTCTTTGCCGACACGGAGAGAGTCCTCATAGCCGACCAGAGCTTGCGAGTGCAGCTTGAATGACTCGCCCATCAACTTGGTGATTCTAATACGATTGTTAGTAATGATTCGGAATGGAAGGATTGGTGTAGAAACGTACCCCCAGACAACCACGCCGTCAAGGATGTTACCCCAAACACGGGCGACGGTGGAGCTGAGTTTGCCAAATGCGTCGATGGCATCATCGTCAAACAGATTGCGGACCTTGTTGTAAATAGCCATCTCAGCCTCAGTCGCCGGCTCGTCGTCATGTTCCAGGCGGTAGAGCCAGAGACTCAGGATGACCATCAGGTCCAAGCCACACAGAGGGTGCTCGACACTCCAGTTGGTGGCGGAGGTTTTGGCAACCCAGTTGATGCCTTGGATAGCGGCAATTTCAATGCACTCGAAGCATTGCTGAACAACCTTGTTCATCTCCTGAGAGCGCTTGACCTTCTCGCGGGCAACGGTCATGGCAGCAGCGACCTCGTAGGAAGAGTGGTAACGCATGGCCTCCTGGATGGACTTCAGGTCAACTTCCAGGCGGGCGCGAGTGTTACGGTAGACAGCCATCGAGTTGAAGATCAAGGGGTGACCCTTCTGAGGAGTGCTCAACGGGACAACGATGGTCTCCGATTCGCACACCTCAAGGGAGCTCTCCCAAGTCTCCAGAGCGAGACGCAGCTTATATTCAGTTACGACGTCTTGCAGTGCCTCGAAGCTGCGCTTGTGGTTCCAAACTTGCAAGAACAGAGCGTTGATCAGAACGCGGGTCGCGAAGGCGCTGTAGCGAGTTTGTTCACCCTGGAAGAGGAAATCGTGGGCCTCGCGGACAGTGAGAACGCCATTGGCGACGCCACGGCGCCATGAATCCTCATCGGATGGATCAAGGTTCCACAGGGACTCGGACGACGGCAGCTCGAGGTTGTCGAACTCATCAAAGCTCATTGCGGGGGTATGGTTGAAGGTCAAGGTGAGCATGCCGAAGAAGATGTAGACCGCGAAATAGGTGCGACGGCAGGATTCATCTTCAATCCACTCCTCGCGAGAGGGCTGAATTCCTTGGCGAGCCTCAGTGCGAACCTTGAGCTGATAGCGGTTACCAGCAACCATGTTGGCCAAGAGACTCTTGATGGAGCAAGTCCACTCAAGACCTTTGGGGTCACCGCTCCAGCTCTCGAAGACCATGTTTAGCAGACTACCCTGCATCAACCACAGAGGGCACTTGCGGGAATCAAAATTCTCCTTATGTTGAAGAAACTGGTTGACGAGGACCTTGGAGCCAACGTGCAGCATGAAAGCATGTTCACGCTCAAAGGTGTACAATGCGCCAATGGATAGGACAGACAACAAGAGCGGTGCTGGGGCAGTAGTTGGGTTGAAAGACTGCTGGTGGAGGAAGGGCAGATGAGGGTGGTACAAGTTGAAGTATGTGGAGAGGTAGCGGTTCAATGCAACTGTACCTGGCAGCTGGAAGGTCTCGGGCAGAGCACCAAGAGTGTCGGAGCTTTGAACACGCTCGACAACCATGTTTCGCTCCATCTCGTCAGCAAGTTGAGGAGCGCGGGGGAGGGTCAAGGCCTGGCTAGGACCGGGTGAACGACGGTAGTTAACAGGGCTCACGGGACCGGTCATGGAGGGATACGGGGAAAGGGCATTCGGGGTCGAGTGGCCAGACATGGGCATCGAGTTGGAAAGGAGGACGTCTCCGACGGGGCCATGGCGGTCGACGAGGGTGGGCATCGAGCCAGTATCCGCGGGGGAGGTGAGCGTATCCCAAGGCATCTGGGGCAAGGTCGCGTTGCCGGAAAGGTAAGGCTCGAAAGAGCCACGACCGGGGGAAAGGGATTCGGATCGCTCGGAGACCTGTTGGGTTGTCGCCGCTGCTGCAGCCTTATGTTGGAAATCTGTCATCAACATGGCTGCAGTTTCAAGGTCGACCATACCATCACTGCTTGCCTCAATCTGTTCCAACGTCGCCGGATCAATAGTGATCGAAGGCTTGGAAGGCCCAGATGAAGAAGACTTCTGAACCCCTCCACCGCGTCTGCGCCCCTCTGCAACGAGGGGGATTCCACCATCTTTGGCGTGAACGGTACGATCATGGCGCAGAAGAAGATCACGGCGAACAAAAGTACTCCGACATTTTAAGCATTTGAAAGGCCGTTCTTTTGTGTCTGTATGGTGGGTCAGCGAGGGAGAGAAGAGAGTGGGGGAGGATGGGGATGGGATGAAAGAGAGGATAGAGGGGGGGAAGTGTCTCTCGAGAACGAGATGGAAGAAATTCATGACTTACGGGATCGTTCGTGTCTGCTTCTGTGTTCACTGCGACTAAAGGCGCGGTTGCAAAATTGGCACTTGTATTTCTTTTCTGGCGCGGAGGTTTTCTTGGCCGGCGAGTTGCTGGCTGTCCCGGGAGCTGAGGGAGCCATTTGTGTGAAAATCGAGCGAAATCGTCTCAAATGAGAATCGAAAAAGTCGACGTTGGTATTGTCCCCTGGGTGATCTCGCACCGGTTCTGTAGGCGTGTCGACGACAGGAGTTCGTTGGGATGTCTGATCATTCCTTGGGTGGGGGAACTGTGGGAATCAAGGTCGCGAAAAAGGGAAGTGATCCAGCCACAGGCGGATACTATAAATCAATAATAAAGAGAAGCGCTTTGAAAAGAAAGGCGGGTGAGCGTTGAAACACCGCGAATATAGAGGGGGGGGAGGTTGAAGAGGGGAGGGGAGGTGGGATGAGGAAGGAAAGAGAGGGGGTGAGGAGAAAAGGAATTTGGCTCGAAGGGAACGGGGGGGGCAGTTCCAGCGGAAGGAGGGGACTGGCACTAACAGAGTGGGTGGTAATTGGCAGGAGGCAAGAGTGACCAGGACTTGACGACTTGACCACTCTGAACTAGCAACTCAGCACTGGCCAAGTAGGGGAGGGGTGTGGTCGTGGGCCTAACCATCGCTTACGGAGGGGGTCAGTCCCAGCTGCACCACTCTACGGTACTGCACAAAGAGGGGGGGCTGGGGTCTTTCATCTGCGGCCACGCACTTCCCCTTCCTTCTTCCACCGGAACGGGCGCATTCGCCTTGCCCCCCCCTTTTACCATACAGAATCGACACGTCGTAATGGTTTATTAGATTTGCTCCCGATCCAAAAGGGATCCACATGGCTTCAAAACTGGTCACTGAACTTCCGTATCCCATCACTTCGGTTCAGCCGAACGTTGGGTCGCTCTGGAAGATCCTCTGATCGACCAAAATGTATGGAGTACGGAGTATGGAAAAAGTACATCAGATGCACCCGTACCCCTCCAAACTACACATTCATCGTCATAATATTCCCCGTCCTACATCTCAATAGCATACATGTTCTATCGACTGATCAAAAATCAGATTCCCCCTCTATCAATTTACTCCATCTGTTCCATCCAAAGATTGACCTGTGGCAGATGAAACATCCCACCAAAAGAAATAATCAAACAAAAAAAGGTTGAAAATAAATTCCCAAAAACAAATAAAATTTTAATTTCTAAAAAAAATAAAAAATAAAAAATAAAAAGCAATATCAAAGTGGGAGCTGTGAGGGCCGGTGGGCCATGCAGAGGGGTCCCCTCGCTCGTAGATGGTCGCCCTTTGTTTATCGCAGGGGAAAATGTGTGGGAAATGTGTGGCTGGCCAGGCATGTGAGGCGATTTAGTGCGCGATCGTGGCAGGCCAAAGTACCAAAGTACCGAGTCTACTGCGGGATGCCATCATGTGTTTGTACTGTAGGTCCTTAGGTACCTAGGTACTCCGTAGACATGTCCGAGTCTTCCATTCAACCGCTATTATGTACTATTCTATCCGTACTTTGTACTCCGTATGTTGTCGTTTCTTTTTTTAAATGTCTATTATTACGTAGGACTCCGTTCTTGTACATTTACCCATCCCCTCCATACTACTAGTAGTAGGATATGCAGTTCTCTACTGATCTTCTGATCTTTATCTTGTATAACCCCGCCTCATCCGCGGCGTGTACCGTGGTTCACCCCTCCGTCAAAAACCCCTCCATCTCCATCACTTGCGATCGGCAACGCCAGATTGGCTCTATCGCATACTACTACTAGTATGTAGTATGTAGTTGTACAGTTCCGACTGCAAGACAAAATGGCAAGCAGGTGGGTTGGGAATGAGACAGGGATGTAATTTCCCTAGCATATTTTGTATATAGCCCTCGTTCGCCGCGTACCCCGCTAGATATGTGAATATTTGAATAATTGGGATAATTGGGATAATTGGATAATGGAGCCCCTCCCCTAAAGATGATTCTCATACTAAGACCGACTGGGTTGAATATTGGGATGGTATTCTACTCCGTACCAAGGCCCGGGTCCTCTATTACGAAAGAGGGCCTCCCTTGGGAAAGGTCTCGATCGGCTCCGCCGCAAATCCTGGCGATTCCCCCGGCGCCGTCGCAGTAGTTGCAGCTGGCTTTAGTCGATCAATCCACCCCTCGAATCCGAGAACACTAGACAAGTGGGATTGAGGAAAGGGCCGCCAGATATTGGATGCTTCCAGGGTCAAATCAGGGATCACCGGCTGTCTGACGGGGAACGCCACAGTAGCTGCCGTCGTCTCAGCCCTCCCCTGACAGATCACCGTCCTCCCTCCCCCCCGGGGCTGAAAATCTACTGTATGTATATCGGGGCGCCCCGCTATGTGGCGGTTCGAGCTGTGCCACGCTTACGTGGGTGAATGGATTTCATGCACATATCACAAGTGGCTCAAAGAAAGTTGCAAACTCAAGAGGGATGTGCGTTGTGCGACCGGGGAGGGGGGTGGATGGGATGGCCATTGTCGGTGCTACGTAGTGAGTCCTCGAGACCATCAGCTGCCGGACTGCAGGACGATCTGCATGGGCAGCACGCGAATCGGGAGGGTGGGTTGAATAACATCATCTGATTCAAGATGCTCCTCTTTTGCGAGAGGGGACCCAGTATCTCCGGAGTGGCCCCTCCCCAAAAAAGAAAAAGAAAAAGAGAAAAAAAGCGATAACAAAAAGAGGAAAGAGGAAAAAGAAGAAAGACATCCGCATCTTCCTATTTCCTGCTGTCGGCTCTCTTCCCACACAGAAACCTTGTCGGAGATGGGTCCACTCGTTTGTCGCGTCGTGAGTTGTCACTGTCACGTACACCGCAGAAGCGGCCTTCGGCAGGGCCGTGTCTCGACCTTTTCGCGATTTCCCGGGTCCCCTCCGTAGAGGGAGGGGGGCACTGCATCATTGGCGAAGATCGAAAGACGCGAAGGACCGACGCGGTTACTTGGGGAACGCGTTTGGCGACTGTCCACTGTGGCGCTCGTAGAGAGGGGGGGGCCACGGCACAGCATGGATGATCCCTCGAGACATCCAATTTACGAAATCGAAATTGCATCTGTCGAATTCTTTGTCCTTGTCTCCCTTCAACTCACATTCAAAATGCCATACACAACGTAGATACTTGGCCTACATACTGTACAGACAAATTCGATGTATAGGTTCCTTCCTCGCATATCCAATCATATATCAAATGGATACTCCCGGATTGCCCCCTTGTTTGCTCTCACGCCAATCCCGCCTCACGCTCAGTTCGCCGACTCCCGCGGACCGCCGGATGATCATCGATTGCCTCAACCTTCCATTCGATCCATTGGATGTACCTGGAGAGCGGTCAGCCGGGGAACTTGTGCTTTTTAGGGCAAAGAAAAGCCAGACCTTCAAGCGCAGGATGAGCCCGATCCACTTCCCGATGCAGCGGACCGACCCCGTCCAACGTTCTCGACCCAAGCAGGAACCACAGCTCATGACGACGCGGTACATCGGTTCAGCGGTGACTTGACCGCCTGGTACCTTTGTCCCTCTCTAGGGCTAATTGCTACTCGAACAGGTATGGCGGCGTGGGCTTCTTGATTCCTTGCCGTGATGTGCGCTGGAGCTCCCACTAGCTATTGTCCTCGATCCACACCATTCCCAATCCCTTCAATGGAGGAGGGGGGGAACTAACCATTCGGGTCTCATTCCATTCCATTCCGGCGGTCAATGGAACAAGAGCCCCAGCAGGATTGTTTAATTAGACACACACGCATAGAAAGACATTGGATAAATGAAAAAGAAGGTTCAAGCGGCCCAATAATGGATCTACGAAAGGGATCGAAATCGACCCAGTTGCGAATCAAATCTTTACCTCGCCCTGCTCCACCCTTCCTCCAATGCCGTTGCTGGAATTCAGGAACCTCTTCCCCGGCGCCGGCCCCTGAGCTAATGGCCGATGGCTACCAGCAGCCGGGCCTTGGCTGGGGCGCTATCCCCCCCGACAACTCCTTAGCTTCACACCCCCACGGCTGTCTAGACGGTCTGGAAGCTCAAGCGGTCTCGTCGAGATGTCGGTGAAGAATTGTCTTCGGTTAGGCTTCATTCTTCACCGCTTCGATATCTTGAATCAAGAAAAAGAGACTGCCCTACGGACGGAATACATAGCACTATCGCTCCTGCAACAGTCCCCACCAGATGACTACATCCAACCGGAAGTTTGTGTGATTTTACAGAAAGGAAAGTGTTTTTGCGCACACGTTTGCGACTGACGGCTCCATTGTGCGCGCTATCTCAATACAGTTTCGCTAAGAACTGGGGAGGGGCCTTCGAGGTCCTTCCAGCTCCCTGGTCGAGAAGGACCTCCGAAGGGAGGGTGGAGGGCGGCTCCACCGAGAATTTGAGTGTGGTGGGTTTTCATTACCCAAAGCTGCTGTACGGAGTACGGGGCATCTACAGTATGTATGTATATACGCAGGTATGTATGGAGAAGGGAGTATGACTGTCATTTCCTTACTGTACATACCTGCCTGCCTACTTGGTAAGTATCTCTCCGTTGCCCTGAGACAGATTTATCATTCGCACGGGACAGGTCCTGGACACACCGTAAAGTGGACATGTAAAATGGAGCTCACACTGACGCCCCCGCCGGCATCAATTGACGGAATGGATAGGTGCGGATATACAATACTGTAGTCAGTGCAATTGAGACAATTGCGTTGATCAAGATCTATCAAGCAATGATATTCTGTAGGACTATCAGAGTCAATGCTAGATCGGCTGGATCACTGGATCACTGGATCGTGGAAGGGGCATCCGGGGAAATCCCGGTCCATGGTACACTCCCGCGTCTTAGATCTGGCTTTCTCTCTCTCTCTCACGTTCAGGCCGCATTGAGGAAAGCATCTTTCAAGGCTTGTCTGCATATGCATCGCATCTGCAGTCCGTGGAATTATCTTACCCTTTACTCCGGCCGCCTCTTCCGTGGGCTTTTGATGCAGGGGATCAGTCCTGCCCTAGATTACCATGTACGAAGTACAGTTGACTACAGTATGTACGTACTTACGTACATACCTTGATGGCCGGTGGCCCATTCGCAAATAATAATTGGTCTCAAGGAGAGCACAAAAATGGATATTGACCTACGCCCCGTGCGCGGAAGTCCTTCCGCCGAATTTTCTCGAAAAGGTGGAACACCTCCTGAAAGTCATAGTAGCTGCTCCGCTCCGTACGTTGTGAAGGGGGTGTGGGGGAGCAAGAGAAAAAGGAATGGGAAGGGAAGAAACGGAGAACTCGGAAAACGTTTTCCTCCTCAAGGTTCAACGTCTGACGCGCCCATCGTCGAGAGTTGCAAGGCTAGCAGTAATTGCCCATGTCAAAGGCTCGCGGGTGGAGAGTCTGGAGCCTGGGTGGGTGGGCGAGTGGGCGAGTGGGTTGGCGAGGGGTCTGACTTTACGAACTGCCCCTCGCTAAGATACAGTAGCTGGCGAGCAAACCCGGCACCTCCAGAAAGCCATTGGCCTCGGTCGTTATGAAACCAGAGCAGGAAAAAAGGGGGGCTGGGTGATCAGGATCATCGGAGACCCGATGCCTTGGATACAGGGGCCGGCTGGCCTTCACTATTGGGCAAGGGGAGCACCGGGCGGCAGGATTCGTCTCCGCTGCAGGAAATCCGTCCGGTTGGGTGAGCGCCCGTTGATGTTGCCCACAGGCAGGTTCCTGCGACATCCGTAATGTCCGGTCCTGCAAGGAACGGGGACGGGTGGCAAATGATAACTGACCCCGTCCAGTCGTGCTTGTGTTCCGGCCCTGAAGCCTTGAAGCCTCCGGGGAGGTGAGACCCGACTCCTGGGCAGGTTTCCTTCATCGCGGTTGCTCTGCCTGTCGTTCTATGTTAGTCTATGTTAGAGATATATCAAGAAATGTATATTGCCATGTTCCCTTTATAGTACTTCGTACGGAGTAGAGAGTACGAAGTACTCTGTGTAGGGTGGCCTTTAGATCCACTGATTTAGTATTGCCTCTTCACGATGCTTCCCGTTAATATCATATCCAACATGGAAGACAACATCAAGCAGCATCTTAGGACAAACCTAGAATCGTAATCCATGTCTCTCTCTACTCAATCATTGTTAATTTCAAGGTTTTTTGTATGTTCTATAATCTATGAGGTATGAGGTCTCTTTGCTTGCCTATTAGTGGTTCCCAGTATCTCAATTTCAATCGAGTTGTGACTTCCAACTTGAAGGTTTAATATCGTTGGGCATTTTACGACCATACCCACTGGAAAGGCTCGATCGACCATGATATGAGCCATGGATACAGCCTTGAGACTAATATCCCATTTTAGATACCTAGTTTGCCTCGATGTTGACCCCAGGAGTTTATCACAATATGGTTGTCTCGAATTTTTGCTGCTTCTACTGCTACCTTCTAGTAAGTAACTAGTACCTACCTACCTACCTACTGCGGCCCAGGTGCTCTGCCGTCGACACGGAGGCTTCCAACTTGGAGGTCCTAAGGTTGTCTGCTACCTACCTACCTAGGTAGTAGCTGTAATCCACCTGCCAGTGGGAACTTCAGTTTCAAATTTTAGGTATTTATTTATTACTAGTAGGTAGTAGTACCTAATAGGTACCTAGGTATATATTATCTACGTAGACCATGTCTACTACCTAAATGAACATCAAAGTTTTGAATTTGAACACCTAATTACCAGCATTAGTTTCTCCTGAACCTGCAACATGAATTTATGATACACTTCTAAAACCCCCAACCCCTCTTTTATGGATTGTTCAATATTTTTGATGTTGCCGACGAACACGTTCGAAGTCTGATACGCAACGCGCAACGGTCCAAACCCACTTTTCGCCGCGATCCGCCTCAAGTTTGAGGCTGGAACATCACAACAAGTAAGCTATGCGCTCATCAGATGGATTCACTCTCGAACCATGGCTCGAAACGAACCATCACAGTTCCCAAATTATTGTTTCGAGTGACATCCGAGTCTTTGCCGGCCTAGCCCACCCAATCTTCACGTGGCATTCTACCGGCAGGTGCTTGACCCCGCAGCTCCGTCGCGATGATCCATTTCGATCTACAGGTACTATCACCGTCCGTGCCAGAATAAAAAACAATGGTCATTATACGGATTACTAGGCTGATCCTAGAACACGAAGAATCCAAGAATACTCCTCATTTTCCCGCGAACCCCGACCTCTCCCTTCCCCAAGCCACGAGGGGGTGACGCTGACCACGAGGCGAAACGGCCCGACACAGCGGATGTTTCCCAACTGTCGGGTCGACAGATGCGATTCGGCGTCCATAGCCAACGACTTTGCATCAATTGACTGGGATCAGAGTCATGAGCTATATTCCTTCAGTATCGATAGAACTTAGTTGTGAATCGGAAATCCGGAATAGCCCCCCCTGTTGGAGAAGAGTTGGAGTAAAAGGTCGTATCATTTCCCATCGAGGGAAATCCCGCGAACTCAATTCTCGCTTCTAGAACCCAGACTTTCCAAGGACTTTGCCCGAAACTCAGACTGATCGATTAGCGCCAATATACGCGTAGAGGTAGGATTTCAATGCCTTGATACCGTATTGAGACTTCGGTATTTCGCCATACGATGGCGCTCAGCCGCGTGAAACACTGGCACCAAGTCGTGAAGAACCTGTCTACACAATGACGACAATTGACTTGCACTCTATCGGTGAACACCGCCGCAAATTTGGTCTATAATTCAAGTTCTTATCAAGGCGCACAGCATGGCTGACTATGATCGGAGAATGGCCTGATTACCACGTCGCATCAGTACTTGCAAAGTCGACCAGGATTCGAAGCACGAGCCCCGGCCTCCTGCATGCGGCATATTACTCGGCAGCGTGACGGTTCATGAGAGCTCCCTACCCATGCTAACACATGCGCATCCATGCTTGCCCGACGTCAGGACTCAGCAGAGTCCAGGTCCCTGGCAGGTACGAGCCCGGTCGTGCCGCATGGTTTCATTTATTTTCGCTGCAGTCAGCACGTTTCCTAGTTGACACCGATCCCCGAGCTTGAGCGGGGGGTTATGCAAGCCACAGTAGATTCAATTAACGGTGTGACCTTCTAGAATGGTTCTGGAGCCGGTTGGGAGTCCCAATATTTTGTGTTGGTGGCTTGTGAATAGATGAAACTCAACACAGCACCAACACAGCACGCGTACCCAGGTCCACTGGTTTTAAGGATCTCATCCCGTTCAAGTTCAATCAAGACGGGGGCTTTTGATGATATTGTCCGACGGTGTGAAGATTATGGTCCAAAATAAGCAACAGACTGGGGTGGTAATCTGCAGTCATATTTCTCCGCGATGGATGTTGTCTAGTCTGGTTGGATATGCATTGTTCCGGGAGATGCAAGTTAGCCACGGAGCAAGCAGGTCGACCTTGGGTCCACGTCATTGCATCGGGCTAGCCAGTCAACACTGAGTGTAGTAATTGACCCGATAGCAATTGAACTGACGGGACTTGGACCTGTGATCTGCCGTCTGGACCCATTGAGTGATTCTTGAATGTATGGAGTACCGAGTACATATTGGTATTTTGGCTTTGTGGGCTTGGATAATTGGGTATATCCCTTACTGGGGCAGTGAGGCGACAGAGCCAGGATTGATCCTGAGAAACAACAATGGGCTAAAAAAACCGGCATCAAGAGAAGAGAGACATTATTCCGTGGACACGTACAACTCAAAACACGAGTCTACACATTCCTCGCCCCATTGGACTGTTGCGGTGGAAAACCGATGTTGAAAGTTCGCGGCAGCGGTGTCCACCTCAAGCGTCAAATCAGGGCGAGCCGCGGGCGGTCCACATGGGCGCACTTTTCACGAAACGAAACCCGACGTAACAACAGGATGTTCTGGATGTGAAAGGGCCTTTGGGGCAACGATTGTCCATTCTTCTCCAGTGGATAGTGGCCAGCAGACGAGGAATGGAATTATGGATCCTTTCCAGTCTGACATCTCCCCACGCCTGTACGGAGTACCTTAAGGTACTGTACGAATAATTGGGAGGGGCGATGTGACGGTGACTGGAGCCCACCAGTGTGGCCAGGGCGAGGGGCGGCCAAGGTTCAATATGGGCATAAGATAAGTCAATAATAAAACGCAATCATCTTGAGGCGGGTTTTACCCCCCTAGGGCTCTTCTGCCTCGAACCCACCGCGCGAACGTGCCGTGGTTGATCCAAGGGCCTCTCGGATCGATGGCGTCCTCCGTTATGGAGCCCGGGGGCTCAGACATCTGGTAACACTGGCAAACCCGCGCGTGTGTGTACGGAGTATACTATTTACATAGTTTGCTGTGGTATCTTGCCGGGGAGGTAGGCTGGTGGATCACAATGGACTGTGCTGTGCGGGTCAGTTGGGATCAGTTGATGATTGCACGGGAGTTGAACATATAGGTCCCGCAAGATGAAAAGTGAGATACCAGGTGCAAAGAAAGTTTGTAGAGAATCCTTAGACATAGGTACATACTCTATACAGAGTACGGAGTACCTGCTCAGGCTGTACGGAGCCCCTGCAGTAAAGCAAGAGAGCCGCGTTACCATATACTGGATACTCCACTGGTGGAGGCAATGTGCCCATAAATACGGTACGGTACCATATCTGTACGGAGTACCAGGTAATCCGTGCTTGGTCCTGGAACCACCTGAACGGACTAGGCGCCTTATCCGTGACCACTCCCCGATTCTCCCCCTCTCTCTCACTTATTCTCCCCATAATAACGACACACTGAGTGACACACCTTTCAACAATATCTCTTCACCCTCCATGGATTAAGTGTTATCTCTAGAACTGTGGTTGTTCTGTACCTCGAGTCTTTCGACCCAGCAGAACCCCCGGAAAGTGGGTTGCAAAATTACCCACCGGGCCCCTCTCCAAAACGTTGTCAATTTTAGCCATGAGCCACGGCGAACACTGAGCCACGCTGCCCCCCCCCTCCCCTTTCACCAACCCCCCCTCTCCCCCCTCCTCAACTGGAGGCTGCTCCCCTGGTGAACTGTGTGCGACCGCTTCATGTACGAATATCGTGCGCCAGAGCTGGCTGTCGACACAGGATTTGCGCTATCCACCAAGGCCGGAGCTTTTGCGACCGCTTTCGAGTACACCGACGAACAGGCCATCACCCCCACAGCTGGAACCCGTCAGCACGGCCGGGCCACCAGCAACTCCCAGGATTACGATCGCTTGAATCCCTCCCTTCTCAAGAAGATGGCTACCGGATATGCCGTCAGCCCCGAACCCCCGGCGCTGTTCGTTCGGGCCATGTACGATTACGATGCCGATGACCACACCAGTTTGAGCTTCCGTCGCGGTGACATTATCCAGGTCTTGAACCAGCTGGAAACCGGGTGGTGGGATGGAGTCATCGATAACACCCGTGGCTGGTTCCCGAGTAATTACTGCACTATTATCACCGAGGCTGACGACTTTGGCGAGCACATGATCCATGGCCATGACGAGACCGACATGAGCGCCGAATCAGGTCTCGAGGATGAATATGAGAATGGTCATGACGAAGAAGAGGAAGAGGAAGAGCTGGACTCAGAAGGCAACCCACGCGATTCGTTGCCCATTCTTCCTATCGAGGGTATCCCCGCGCCCAAGGAACAGGAAGAGGCCGCCTTTTGGATCCCCCAGGCCACACCCGACGGCCGCTTGTTCTACTTTAACACTTTGACCGGCTACTCGACGATGGAATTGCCATTTGAGAACCCTACCGCGGCGTCTGATATGGGTCCCCGAGACCGAAACAACTTCTTCGTACCTGACCAGACACGACCACCCCCTGAGTTGATGGCGCGCGGGTTTGAGCGGGATGAGGA